CACCTTCCCTTCTCACCTCGGGGCTGCGGGGGAGAGGTCCCAGCACCCCCCTCAGCGCTCCCGGACACCCCCAAGGAGCCTGCGGGTAGGAACTCATCCGCTGGGAACTTTTCCTCATTTGGGCTTAAGCTCGGACAGCCACATTTGTCCCAGGCGCCACCTGTTCCCATTCTCGCACTCTGAATGCCAGGGGCTGCTGTCTGGCATGGGCGACCCCCAGGAGAGAAAGCGACTTCCTGACTTGCTCAGCCCGTTTTGATTTCCAGCACCCCAGAAAGACTCCAGCCGGGGCCGGAGCACAGGGGTTCAGGCACTTGCCTGTCTTGCACGTGGCCGACCCTGGCCCCATCACAGACATCACATGTGGTTTGCCCCGAACTCCGTGTGACCCCAAAACCGAAAGGGAAAACGAAGGCTACGTTCACCGCCGGGGTGGATAGGGTTCTGTCCTGCCAGGCGAGGGTTACAAAGCCCATGCCTATTGCCACCACCTTACGCCCCAGCCTATTGGGGCTGCAACGGTTCTGTGGAGCGAAGATAAGCAGGCCTGCCGCGCCTCGCACACCCTCCCTGTTCTCTGGCAAGTTGCAACAGTGAAGTGCTTCAAAAGCTGTGGCTCCTAACGGTCACCACGGATCCCGGGGCACACCTCGCCCTCTGCCCTCTTCGGGGAGGGCTAAGTCAGGTCAGAGGGGTCTTTGGGTAAGCCCAGCAACACCCAGGGGTCACCGCGGCTCTGCTCAGGGATTGCTCCTTGGGGTTCCCCAGGGGACTGACCCAGGTCAGACAGGAGCGTGGTGTCCCCTATACTCTGCTGGACCCTACGGGGGTTGTTTCTTTCAGGAACGTGTGTTTCTGGGAAAGGCCGGTGTCCTGCTTGCTAGTCACTAGGCCGAACCTGATGAACTCTGAATTCCAACTCCGGACCACCCCCTGCTGCCCCCTGCCCACGCAGCACTCGTGCTCCCCTTCATTCAGCCCCAGGGTGCCCAGACCTTGGATGTGTCCGTCTGTCTCAGTGCCGGGTGCTCTATGAAACCCCAGACACCCTGACCCCTCCTGGAGTCAGTCCTGCACTCCCTGGGGTGCCCCTCAGCTTTGTGCCAAGCAAGCAGGCTGGGCCTATGGAGGCCCTAGAGCTGTACTGCACCTGGGTAAGTTGGCGAGCGAGGACCACCTCTGGGCTGGAGACTCACCACAGGCCTGGGGAGGGCCGGAGCACAGGTCTGGCCTGCGTGAGTCCGGGGCTGGTCCCCAGCACCGCCTGATGCCTCCCAGCATTGCCAGTCAAAGCCCTGGTGGCCCGACGGCCACTGCAGGGGCCTAGAAGATCCTGGGCCCGAGCACACACTGAAGGGGAGAGCCAGGTGGGTCCCTGGCACCTCACAGCCCCGACCGACCCCAGAACAAACATCTCCAGGGCTAACTTGTTAGTCTGCCGTTAGTATGAACTTAACTATAGCTCAGTCCGTGCAGGGGCCTCCATCGCCTCCGGTCACAGGGGTCAGTGGCCGGATGCGAACCAAGGCATAGGGCTTGGACCCTGTCTGGACGATGCCCAGGCTCATGAAGCCAACCACAGTAGGGAGGATCAGGTAAGACTTGCTCGGTCTGGGGCTGGAGCGATAGCACGGTGGGTAGGGCGCTTGCCTTGCACACGGCCAACCTGGGTTCGATTCCCAACATCCCATATGGTTCCCTGAGTACCGCCAGGAGTAGTTCCTGAGTGCATGAACCAGGAGTAACACCTGTACATGGCCAGGTGTGACCCCAAAAAAAAAAAAAATCTTGCCTCGTCTGCACACAAAGGAGGTCCCGGAGTCCCGGAGCTGAGGGTCTGGGGTCTCGTCAGAACCTTGGCAGTCCGGGCAGTCTCTGGGTCGGGCTCTTGGACACAGAAACAGGAGCCGCAATGTCCTTGTCATGGGTTGGCTCAGGTGGGCCCGGAGAAGAGAGCAGGTTCCAACAGAACATTGGGAAACCCAGGGTCCCCTGCAGCAAGTGTCTCGAGAGATGGTGGAGAGGAGCAAGGGCTGCGTGACCCATCCCCCATGCACAGGCCGGCCTGCTGTCCACTTGTGACCATCGTCATACATGCACAGGCTGACCTGCTGTCCACTTGGCAGAACAGCCCTGACCTTGGCACGTGGCTGAGGCTACAGTGGGGCCAACCTGCCTGGGAGGTGCAGCAAAAGAAACAAGCAGCAGGACAGCGTGGACAGGGCCAGAGCCTCCGCCAGCAGCGCTGCCAACATCCAGGCCCTCAGGACACTTCGCGTGGCACCGACCTGGGGCTAGGGGGAGCCAAACCCATGACAAGGACATTGATCTTGGTTCCTCAAACACAGGCTGGCAGCCAAATCCCGGAGGGCAACTCCAGCCGCTGCCCGCACAGGGCCATCCAAGATTCTAGCTGTCAACTGCTCGCTTTATAAAACAAAATGCTGGGGCTGGAGCGATAGCACGTGGGGGTGGGGGAGGGGTTTGCCTTGAACGCAGGGGACCCAACCTGGGTTCGATTCCCAGCATCCCATATGGTCCCCCATGCACCGCCAGGAGTAATTCCTGAGTGAAGAGCCAGGAGGAACCCCTATGCATCGCCGGGTGTGACCCAAAAAGCCAAAAATATAATAGTAATAAAAAAATAAAATGCTGGGACTGGAGCAACAGCACAGTGGGAAGGGCATTTACCTTGCATGCAGCCGATCAGGGGATTGGAGCCCTTGAGACCGCCAGGAGCCATTCCTGAGTGCAGAGCCAGCAGTAAGCCCCTCAGCATCACTGGGTGTGACCAAACAAAACAAACTAAAAGGAAAAGGTGGGCTTCCCTGACCTTTAGAAAGTACGCAGCAAATCTACTATGAGAAGTTGAAAAGGCAACCCACTGAATGAGAAAACTACCTGCAATATACCTGCTAAGGGTTAGGATCCAGAGTATACAAACGACAATTCCACAAAATTGGTTGGGGATCTCAACAGACATTTCTCCAAAGCAGATACATACAGGGGCTGGAGAGATAGCAGAGCGGGTAGGGCGTTTGCCTTGCATGCGGCCGACCCGGGTTCGATTCCCAGCATCCCATATGGTCCCCTGAGCACTGCCAGGAATAACTCCTGAGTGCAGAGCCAGGAGTAACCGTGTGCCGGGTGTGACCCAAAAATAGCAAAACAAACAAAAAAACCCAAAGCAGATACATACAAAGAGCCATTAGCACATGCTATTGTTTGACAACACTGATCTTTAAAGGAAAACAGAACTATGATATCCAAAAAAGGGGTAGGACGCCGCCAGGGAGGACAGGGAGTGAGGCATTTGCCTTGGATGCAGGGGACCCAGGTTTAACTCCAGACACTGCATGTGGTCCCCTGAGCACCACCACGGGTCACTCCTGAGCACAGTGCCAGGAGCAGCACCTGACACTGCCATGTTCAGCCCCCAAACAGAATTCATTTAGAAATCCAGCGAAGTTGCAGGAAACAAAAGCAACAGACAAAAACCAACTGTTCCTCTGCAAACTACAACCTAGCAAAGAGGAATTAAGATTTTCACTTACAGTTGCACCCCCAAAGAAGAAGACCTTACGGAGGCCACGGAACCCATGTGCTGCAGCTCCAGGGACAACGCAGTGGCGAATCTGCCCCACAGTGTTAAGGTCACCAGTCTGACCCCACGCCACCCCCACGCGCCCGGTGTGCCCCCTCCAGCCTGAGGTGCTTGTGACCGCTGCCAGGAGCACAGCCCCAGACAAGCATGACCATCCAGAAGTATCTGAGCAACAACATGGGGAATGTGACCCCCCACCCAGCACAACCAAGTGTATGTGTTTGATCTTGGGGCTCCCAACAGCAACACAAGGACGGACACAGGCTGAAGATTCGAATCTCATGAAGGAAACTGCCGGCACAAATGAACAAGGATTCAGGGGCCAACCAGGGCTCAGTCCCTAGCACCCCACCTGGTCTCCTGGTGCCCTGCGCCCTGCCAGGAGTAAGCCCTGAGCACAGCTGGGTGTTGCCTCTGCGCCGCAAATAAACTGGCCAATGGGCCTTTCCACCCTGAGCTCAGGGCGTGTCTTATTCGCCAGGTTTCCCCTCTTCGCGCTCATATTTTTAAATCAAACTATTTTAGTCACTTAAAAAAAAAGATTAACAGTGAGGCGAGAGAGCGGCTCAAGGGGCTGGAGCACAGCTTTGCAATGCAGGAGGCCCAGGTTCAATCCCTGAGCGCCGCCAGGAGTGATCCCTGAGCACCACCGGGGAGGGAGTGGACCAGGCCAGGCGGAGGGAGGGGGGTCCCCCAGACAGAGGACAAACACAAGCTCACAAAAACCAAATCCAGTCTGAGAAACTCTTGGAGTAAGAGTGGAGAACAACCGTTGTCGGGCAGTGAGCCAGGGGAGGGGGCTGGTTGGGGTCAGGCCTCAGGCTGCCTGGCCGAGTCCTGGAACCCCTGAAGGTGGGGTACAAACTTCCCCACAGCCACCAGCTAGATTTGAGGTGCCAAAGGCCCGGGGGAAGGAACGCAGCTTAGCTCCAAGTCAGGGGCAGCTGCGGCCTCTGCCCCACTGGCCCTGACCCATCCCAGGACCAGCGGTGGGTGGGCACGCCAGGCCCTTCCGCTGAAGCTCCCAGCGGCACAGTCCCCCAGCACTGGCACGTGCACGGCACAGCCCGGAGCAGGGGATCCAAGCACCAAGGGGTCAGAGTCGGAGCTGAGCATCCCCCCCAGCTGTCTGAGGGGGCTGAGATGGGGCTTCCCGGGGGAATGACCCACCTATGTTCGCACCCCCTAAGCCAATGAGGGGTGCGCGCTGGGGGCCCACGGAACACCCCCAGGAGCTTACCTGGGGCGGGGGAAGGCTGCGATCGCCTGGCGGGCCCGCCCTGTCAGGTGCGCGCAACCGGGGAGCGCCCCAAAGCCGCTGCACCCGCGTGGCCCGCTCCCTCCCCAGGCCGGGCAGAGACTGGACCAAGGGGCGGGCGGAACGAGCTTTGAGCTTTATTGCAGACCCGCCCCCCCGCAGGCGCGCAGCAGAGGAGCAGGGACGGGGCTGGGGGCCGCAGAGCAGCCCAGCCCGACCTGGGGCCCACAGCCTGTCCACCGCCTCCCGCTGACGCCGGGGGCCCACGGCCCAGAACCCAGAACTGGCCACTGGCCCCGGGCCGGTGGCAAACAAGGCACAGAGGTGCAGGGGCGCAGTGGGCGTGTCCTCCGGCAGTCCAGGCCCTTCCAGCAGGTCCCGCCCTGGCTGGCCATGTGGCGCCCCTCCCTCCTGACGCCCGGGCTCAGCCCCGGTAGCTCTTGAGCACGTGCCCGGCGATCACCAGCTTCTGGATCTCACTGGTGCCCTCGTAGATCTCGGTGATGCGGGCATCCCGGTAGTGGCGCTCGGCGGGCATCTCGGTCACGTAGCCCATGCCCCCCAGGATCTGGATGGCCTGGGGAAGGCAGAGGGTCGGGGGGTGCGGGTCCCTCAGCCCAGGGCCGGGGCGGGGGGCAGGGCTCGAGGGGCGTGGGACCCTCACCTGGTGGCTGATGGCCGTCGCAGCCTCCGACGCCGCCAGCTTGGCCATTGCCGCCTCCTGGCCGCGGGGACGGGGCGTCAGACGCTCGGCCGGGCCGGGCCCGAGCAGGGGAGCCCACCCCAACTCCTCCCGGGCTGCCGGCCAGGCTGGGGGACCCCCGCGGGAGGCACCTTGGTGAAAGGCTTCTTGTTGTCCTTGAGCATGGCAGCGCGCCAGGTCAGCAGCCGGGCACTCTCCAGCGCCAGCGCCATGTCCGCCAACTTGAACTGCAACGCACCGGCCGTGGTCAGCCGGAGGCGGGTGGGGGTCGCGCCTGCACCCCCGCCCTGCCCCATACCTGGATGCCCTGCAGCTTGGTGAGGGGCGCCCCGAAGGCCATGCGGGTCTCGGCGTAGTTCACGGCACAGTCCAGGGAGGCCTGGCCAATGCCCAGCGCCTGGGAGGCGATGCCGATGCGGCCCATGTCCAGGGTTTGCTGCAGGGACGCGGGGTCAGCGGCTGGGGCTGAGGGCGCGCCCCCCCCACGCCCCTGCCCCTCACCATGGCGATCTTGAAGCCCATGCCCTGCTCCCCCAGCAGGTTCTCCTTGGGGATGCGGCAGTCCTCGAAGATGAGGTTGGCGGTGGACGAGGCCCGGATGCCCAGCTTGTCCTCCTTCTTCCCCAGCGTCAGCCCGGGGGTCGGCATGGGGACCAGGAAGGCGCTGATGCCCTGGGGACGCAGACACCGGGTGGTTCGAGGCGACCCAACCTGCAGACCACGCGGGCTGCCCCTGCGGCTCCTGGTGGATGCCCGGGCCTGGCGGGGGACCGAGCAGCCCCGGGGACCGTCCCAGGCTCCTGACCGCTCCGGGCCCCTACCTTGTTCTTCAAGGACCTTTCTGTGCTGGCAAAGACCACGGTGGCCGAGGCGTCCCAGGAATTGGTGATCCAGGCTTTGGTGCCGTTCAGGACCCACGAGTCCCCGTCCGCCCGGGCAGTGGTGCTGGCGGCTCCGGCGTCACTGCCGTTCCCTGCCCCGCACGCAGACTCAGGACCTCCGCACGGCCGGGGAGCAGCCCAGCCTTGCAGCGCACCCAGCACTGTCACGCCTCACCCCTGCAGTGCCCCAGCCCCAGCTCACACCCCAGCACTCTCACCCCACCCTGAGCCCCAGCTCACACCCCAGCACTCTCACACCTCACCCCTGCAGTGTCTCAGCCCCAGCTCACGCCCCAGCCCCCACCACACAGAAGATCTGGGCACAGGCGTCTCCCTAAGCTGAACCTAGTTCCCGAGCAAGGGGACAGGGGCCAAGGGGGACCCAGCAGCTGAGGATCTTCCAGTCAAAAGTTCCTTCCAGCTCAGCAGTCAGCCCACTGAGGACCCCCGACCCCCCCCAGCGCAAACCCCAGGCTTGGGAAGCTGGCTCCAACCTGTGGGCCACCCCGCCTCCGTGGGTACCTGGTTCACTGAGGGCAAAGCAGCCGATCTTGTCGCCGCTGGTGAAGGGCGTGACCCACTGAGCCTTCTGCTCCTGGGAGCCGAACTTCATGATGGGTCCCAAGTAGAGGGACTATGGGGCAGAGGGAGTGGAGGCAGCCCTGAGCCCGGCACCCCCAAGCCCCCTAGCCCCCAGGGCTGCTCTCCGTAGAGGCGCACCCAAAGGGCTAGCCCAGGAGGGGGGTCACTCACGTTGTTGACGCTCATGATGACCCCGCTGGAGGCGCAGCCGCGGCTGATCTCCTCCATGGCTATGGCGTAGGCCAGGTAGTCCAGGCCCGCCCCGCCCAGCTCCGTGGGCACGTCCATGGCCAGAAGGCCCAACTCGCCCATCTTCTTCACCTGGGCCACCCAAGCCTCACTCAGCACTTGCAGAAACTTGGGTCACCTGGGCCCGCCCAGCAGCCTGTGACCCTCCGGGGAGGCGACGGAGACCCAGCAGCATCCACGTCCAGTGAGTGGGCAGAAGGCACAGGAGGCCTTGGGGTGCGGGGGGGCCTCTGAGATATGGCACAGGACAGCACGGTGCCCCCCACTCCACGCCTCTCCACCCAGGGCCTTTAGGTTTTTGTTTGGGGGCCACGCCTGGCAGTGCTCGGGGCTTATTCCTGGCTCTGAACTCAGGGATCACTCCTGGTGGGCTCATGTGGGATGCCGGGGATCAAACCCAGGTCGGCCATATGCAAGGCAAGTGCCCTCCCCACTGGACTACTGCTTCAGCCCCCACCCCAGGGCCTTTGAACATGCTATGGCTGCTCAGGAATGCCCTTCCTCAATGTGTCATTCCATTTCAGATTTCAGCTTCACTCCATTTTGGACTCATGCTTCACATTTGAGGGCTGCCACCCCATCCTCTCCGAGTCAAACCCCTTCAGCAGCCTGGGTCACCTCTGCAGAGCTGTGGAGGAACTGCCTCTGGCTTGCATGGAATAGAGGGCTCTGTCCCCTGCCACAGGGGCCCTTTGGGGTCTGCCGCTCACTACGCTAACCCCAGCGCCAGGGTGGCCAGGCACGACTGTGGGGAACTTTTGGATGGGGAATGAGAAATTTCCTGTTTGATTTTGTTTGGGGCCACACCTGGCAAAGCACTCATGAATCGCTCCTGGCGGTGCTCAGGGATCGAACCCAGGTCAGCTGTGTGCAAGGCAAATGCCCTCCCCGCCGTGTGTTTCCGCCCAGAGGCCGGGGCAGGCTGATCCGCTGACCTGCGCTGCCGGGAAGCGGTGCTCCTTGTCTGCCTGGGCCGCGATGGGCATCAGCTCCTTCTCTGCGAAGTCCCGGCACGTCTGACGCAGCATCTGGTGTGTCTCGGGCAGTTCCACGGACTGGTAGATGGTGTGTAACTGACGCCAGTTGCGGGGACACAGGGCTGCCAGTGTGAGGGATGAGGGAGGAACAGAAGGGCCCATGAGTGGTCTTGGAACATGTTGTCATTGAAATTCTTTGATTTTTAAAAAATTTTTGTCTTTTAATTTTAATTTTTTTTTTTTTTTTTTTTGCTTTTTGGGTCACACCCAGTGATGCTCAGGGGTTACTCCTGGCTCTGCACTCAGGAATTACTCCTAGCGGTGCTTGGGGGACCATATGGGATGCTGGGAATCGAACCCAGGTTGGCCGCATGCAAGGCAAAACCGCTGTGCTATCGCTCCAGCCCCTCTTTTAATTTTTAAAAGGTGGTCTTGACTAGAGCTGGAGCGATAGCATGGCAGGTAGGGCCTTGTACACAGCTGACCCGGGTTGGATTCCTCCGCCCCTCTCAGAGAGCCCGGCAGGCTACCGAGAGTATCCCGCCCACACAGCAGAGCCTGGCAAGCTCCCCGGGGAGTATTCAATATGCCAAAAACAGTAACAACAAGGCTCACAGTGGAGACGTTACTGGTGCCCGCTGGAGCAAATCGATGGACAACGGGAGGGCAGTGCTACAGTCTTGAGTACCAGTCATAGTAACAGAGATCCTCAAACCAGAGTGACAGTTCAGCAGGGAAGGCACTGGCCTTAAGCGCGGCCAACCTGGGTTCAATTCCTGGCATGCATCCCATGAGGTTCCCTGAACCCCACCAGGAGGCCAGGAATGAGCCGGGTTAGGGTTCAGTAGCAACAAGGGAAGCATCCACAGGGATTCACTAACCAGGGACTCTGCGCCGGGAAGGATTTTAGACCCCATGGGCCCTTTGGCTCTGTCTGAAGACGTTTTTGCTTTTCGCAACTCCAGGGGAGACCGGCACCGGTGTGGGGGGCACACTGGCCTCCAAGACGGGGGCTGGTGACAGGGGCGCCGGTTCCACGCATCAGCAGCCCCCTCGGTGCGGCCCACGCTAGCGGGCGGCGGGGCTCCTGCAGGCACTGGGCACTGCCCACACACTGCCCTCGCGGGCCTCGGATTCACACGCAGGAGCAGGACACACACACTCCCGCGGCCTCTATAAAACGCCTCTAAAACCCGGGATTCAGCTCCCCCGGGGGCAGCGCCGAGGCGGCAGGTGTGCCCGCCAGGGGTCAGCGGCCACAGCTGGACAGCCGCGGGGCGGTGGGGAAACGCGCGCCGCGACGCGGCCCCGCACTGGCCACGCGCCGGGCAGTGCCCACGGGCCGTGCTTCCCCCCGTGACCACTTCACACCGGGACAGCGGGGCGGGCGGGGGCCGAGCGCTTCGCCCAAGGTCACGGCCGTGCGTGTTCGGTCCCGGGCCCGCGCCGGAGGGGGGCGGTGCCCGGACCCCGACGGGGGGCAGCGGGGAAGGCCGGGGGGCGTGCGGGCGGCGCCGGGGCGCAGACGGGAGGGGGCGCCGCGCGCGGAGCGGGGGTCGCGGCCGGGCCGTTGGTGCCCAGGCCCGCGGGCGCGCAGGCGCCGGCGGCGGCGGATCTGGGGCAAAGGCCGCGCGCGCCCCGGGCGTGGGCACCGCCCGCGGGGCAGGAGGCCCGTCCGCGGGCACCGGCGCGCGCCAGGCCGGCCGCGGCCACGCCGCGCAGCCCGGCGTGCACTCACCTCCGCGGACGGGGCCGCAGGCCCGGGCGAGCAGCGCGGCGGCCATGGGGCGGTGTCGCAGGGCCTCTCCTCGGCGACCTCGGGCCAGGCGCGGTTCCGGACCTCGAGGCCCCCGGGAGCCCGACGTCAAGGCTCTTCCCGGGCCCGCCCCGCCGCCGCCGCCTCCGGCCCCGCCCCCGCCCCGCCCCCGCCTCCGGGCCCCGCCCCCAGCCGCCCGCCTCCTGCCTCTGGCCCCGCCTCCTCGCAGGCCCCGCCTCCCTCAGGCCCCGCCGCCCGTCTTTCACCTCAGGCCCCACCTCCCACCGCTAAATCCCGCCCTTCCGCCTCCCGCCCACAGGCCCCTCTTCCCCCTTGGGGGCCGCTGGAGAGAGGACGGCGGGTAATGCACACCCCCTAGCCTCGCGTGCCATCCGTAGCATCGCACATGGTCGCACCCCCAGGAATTATCCTTGAGCTCAGAACCAGGAGTGCGCCCTGGACAGTCAGCCGTGGCCCTCTCCACCACCAAAAGAACAAATTTATTTTAAAATTGAAAGAAAAATAAACACCCGAAGCTTTCTATGGCCTTCCCCCACCTTCTCCCTGGCCGCAGGCCCAACCTGCCCCAGCTGTCTTTGTATCCCACTTTTGGCCTGTCCCCCCATTAGTCTGGGACATCGAAGAGGGACAAAGGGTCTGATTCTGATTCTGGTCCTCAATAGTTAGGAACTCTATGGCCTGACGTTTTTTTCCCTGGGAAGCTGGGGTGTGGCTGCTACTCCCCCCCACCCCCCATTTCACTGTTAGTCCCATCTATCTCCCAAGTGGGACAGAGTTCCCTCTTCCCCCCTGGGGAAGAGGACATATTGGTCCCTCCCTAAAGCCATGCATTTGGCTCGTCAGTCCCCCCCCCCCCCCCTCCGCCCGCAGAACGCCTTCACCCTGCCCCAGGTGCAGGCATTTCCCTAGTCTGCAAAGGTTCCCACCCTCAAAGTCTCTTTCCGGGCATCTGTACATACAATTCTGTCTTCTTCCAAGACCTTCCTCTACTTCCTAGAGATCAAAGTTAAATGTCAACTTTAAAAAGAAATGCAGCAGAGCTGTGACACAGCAGGGGTTAGGCACTTGCCTTGCACACAACTGACCCCAACCCCACATAAATGTCCCCAAATACTGCCAGAGTGACCTGTGAGAGCGAGGTGGGTGTGGCCCCCAAACAACCCTCCTCCAAAATAAAGTTTTGTAATGAAAACTGTTGTTGATGGGGGTGGGTTAAGGGGTTACGGTGCCTGAGGGAGACCCTGGTTTGATCCTCTCCTGAACATCACCGGGTGCAACCTTGGAGGCCTTGAGCATCCTTGACTGTGGCCCTGCAGACCCTGGAGCACCCCAGGGTCCAAGCAGCAGCACCATCTTAGGCCCTTAGGTTGAACTGCCTAGTTGGCCAAAAATCCTTGAGAGGGGCGGGCACTGAGCCTCTGAACACGAAACACTATTTTTGACCTCTCCCCGCTCCCCCAGAAAACCTTATTGTAACGTAAAGCTCAATGCTATTCCACGATTACCCTAGAAACTAGTGCCCTACTCATTAGACCATTTCCAGAAGGGCCCGGTAAAGAAACTCAGAGTTGGGACTAGAGAGAAAATAGAGAGGGTTAAGACTCTTGAGTTGCACCCTGCTGACCCAATTTTAATCCCTGGCCTATATATGGTTCTCTGAGCACTGCCAGGGTCATTCCTAAACAGAGCCAAGAACAACCCTGGCTATAGTCCAAAAATCGAAAACAAAAAACAAACAAATCCAGAGCGATGTCCACCCCATACCCACGTCCCTCAGCCCCAGCAATTCAAGAGGCAAATTCAGGAGACGAGAAGGCATCCATACTGTGAAAATCTTTATTACTGTCTCTTGTGGCAAAATAACATTTCATACAAATATGTCACCTATGAACTTTGGACATGAACACAATACAAACTGGAATGAGAATCTCTGGTGAAGAGGAGAGAGAAAGGATAGATCAGGTCATTGACTTTTTTATACTCTGTGAAAAATAGATTTACAGGGAAAAAATACACTTTCACAAGTTCAATGACTTTACATAATCCTTTGTGAGACAAGGATGACTACCTCCACCAGATCCTTCCTAGGGCTGGATGTTCTAGAATACGGGACGCGCTGAGTCACACGATGATGCTCCGACCCCTGCAGCACGCATCCACGCGTCCTGGAGTCTGTGCTGTCATTCTTGGAACTGACTGTTCCAAATGCCAAGCCTCAGTGGCGTCCTGGTGACAATGGCCACCAGGAGAAAGTGGCTGTACAGAGAACACAGTAGCTGGGGGTGACTTTAGGCAGGATTCCCCAATTATACTTTGGACACAGCCCACGCAACCCAGTCCAGCAATGAGCTGACCTGGGAGAACAAGAAGACTGTCCAGAATTACTGGGCAATGAGTCACCCCCAGGTTTCCCAATCACTGCCCAGGCTTGGGAACCAGAGGGCTTACACCTGGCAGCTTCGGTGAACTGGCACATGGGAAAGCACTGCTTCTTTGGGCCAGAAACAAGTTCAGGTATTTCCTGTTTACTCTCTAAAACAGCCTGGAGTCAGCCTGGCTCCTCTTTGGGGAAGCAGAGGGCCTGGGAGCCCAAAGGCTTCATGGGAAGAGGGGTGCACTCTCGACTGGCTTGAGGCAGAGGGGCAGGAGCAGGGCGAGGGGTACTAGGCGGGCCTGCCACTCTCGGAATGGGCTCCATCCAGGAGCTGCTGCCTGACAGCCACCGGCTCTGGGCAGAGGGGCGGGCTCCTCCCAGGCAGCGTGTCCCCGCCATGCATGTCCCACAGGGAGAGGTGACCAACAGATGGTCCAGTCTCCTTACTGCCATGGCAGCCTCTTTCCGTTCTGACTGCTTCAGCTATTTGGGCGGAAGCCCGACTTCTAATCCCCTCCCCCACTTCAGGCACAACAGCCCGGGAGGTTCAGACTCCCTTGGTTAGCATCCCAGAGTGGTAATGCCTCTCGAGAGGTCCTGAGTTGCTAGAAGTAAGATCCAGAGTCCCACATGCAGACCGCCAGGCTCCTGGGCCCAGAAGATGACAACTCTGTCCTGTGGGCACCAAGTATGCACTTGGCCTTGACCGGGTCTCCGTGGATACCATGACCAGGGGGAAGAGGACACAGCTGCCCTGCAGACGGATGTGCTCCCTGCCCCCCAAAACACAGCCCTGCACACTGCTGGGTGGAGCTCCGGCCAGGCAGCACCACGCCACAGGAGAACCACACAGCAGACTGGCTCTGGCCCGGCCGATGCGACACAGAGAAGGCAGAGCAGCCCCGGAAGAAGCAGGCAGAGGAGGCAGTGCTGCTGCCGTCCCCGGAGCGCAGGGACAGAGCCGCACTTAAGGCAGCAGGGTCTGGGCCGAGGGTGGAGGGGGCCGGTCTCCACCCGGCAGCACGCGGGGCTCAGTGCGGGCACAGCCCAGGCCCCGCCCGGCCACTCTCGGGGCTCGTGCACTCAGGGCCGCAGACAGGGCGTGAAGGCAGTGGGGACTCTTCTCTCCCTTCTCCTCAGGCCCTCTGCAGGCAGCCCTTTCCTTCACTCGGACCCTCCCCGAGACCACTGACCACCTCCCAGGGGCTCCTCTTGAGCAATTCTAAACCCTGGCCACAGCCGCTACCCGCAGCAGCACTTGCTGGCGAGCACAGCTCTGAGGGCACCTCAGCCGCTGTGCCCCTTTCCAAAGCACCCGACTATGTGGAGCAAGCAAAGGAACAGAACTTCAGTCCGTGGCAACACCTGCGGGAGGGAGCTAGCAATGACATCAGTCAAAAAGCAAACAGGAGCACTCTCCTAATCTGCAAAGACTCGGAGAGGCAAATGCCCACGAAAACCTGCTGCTCCAGGCTGAGTTGTGCCGGAAAACCCCAGTGCGCGCCTGCAGCGCCCTGGCCCAGGGAGGCGGGGGCGCCCGGCGCCCATCACCCTACGCAGAAGTCCGGCCACGCATCACGTACACTGGGAACACCGCTGCCCCGACGGACCCTCCCTCAGCGCAGCCCGAGGGACCCCGGGCACAGCATTGGCAGGCCCGATCGGGCCGGGCTGGGAGGGAGGTGGAGCTCGCACCGTGTTCCGGAGCCGGGAGCCACAGCGCCAGCCCGTCTGCCTCCACGCGAGACCAGGAAGGCACTGCCAGGCCGCAGCCACGCCTGGCTGAGGGTCAGAGTCAGTTGGCCAGCCAGCCTCTCCCTAAAATCCCCCTCTCCTTCCGGCCGCCTGCCTCCCAGGCACTGCGGCTCCCCCCACCCCTTTGGAAGCCCCTTCCGGGTGGATCAGGCGGTGCGCGGGCTGGGGGCAGGCCATGCCCACACAGGGCTGGCCGTGAGAGTGGGAGAGGCCTGGGAGAGGCGTCCTAGACGCATCCCTCGGTGCCCTGGAGGCACGGCAAGCTGCCCACACAGCTCCGCCTGGAGAGAGAGACCCAGGTCTGGCAGGGCAGCCGACAGGCAGCTAGGACTACGTGGGAATGAAGTTTTCTTTTCCGTCGGGACCGCAGGAGCCTAACCCGAACCTTTTACTCCACTACAGTGCCTCGGCGACCTAAGGGGCGGGGGCGGGGGCAGGGGGCGGGGCGGGGGAGAGGGAGGAAGAAATGCTGGGGAAGAAAACACAGCGTGGCTTGGCACCTCTCTCGGCACACAGGAAACTGCCACCCAGCCTTGGCTCCCTGGCGCCAGGTTCCACATGTGTATTGACCAAGAGCCGCTCCAATCGCCTCCGTGTGCCAGGCCCATGGGCCACAGCAGAGCACTGCCCGGTCCACTCCTGCGCGACTACTGGCCTCCATTGTAGGCATAATCAGCCTTGTTGTGCATTATCAGCTTGTTGTCCACAAAGTAGAAGCTGTCAGAACGGGTTTCATACGGATTTTCGATCATCAGGCGGACTGCAAGTCAGGGAAAAGAAAAGACGGATACTGAGACTGGCCCGTGGACTCAGGGGGTGGGGGGAGGATGACACTCAGCAACCTTCTAAAACGCCCAAGTCATCCCCTCCACAAACGTGAGGCTGAATGGTACGAAGACGAGGCCCAATGGTACGAAGACGAGGGGACTGGGAGAACCGGGCCTGACTGGAACGCTTTTGTGGCCTGCCCGCTGCCACACACTGGATGCTCGTCCCTGCCTGGAGTCTCGGGGACCCGGGAACAGGTGTGTCCCCGGGGCCAACACGGACCCCAACTATCCATTCACTCCAGATTTCTGGCACATCCTGATCTCTAGGCATTCCAGCTCTAATTCAGAAACTGGGGCTCATGCTGCCACGTGCCCACGGCAGCCCTGGAAACCAAAGGAACCCTTAGTGTGTACAGGGGACCGAGGGCAAGGTGGCCTTTCCAGAGATGGCCCTGGGTCCGCTCGCAAAGGAGCCCACCCACTTGTCTTGGATCCCACGTGAAAGGATCTGCCCACCTTCGTGTGTTCAGGGAACTTCAGTACCTCTGACCACACTGGGAGAACCAATATAACGAAGTTACTCTCCTTATTCGTAATGATGTCAGCATTACCATCTGATGAGTTTTGAGTTAATGATTATAGGCGACAGCAAGTCCTCTGCAGAATACTACTGCTCACCACATTCTTAGAAAATAAAGTTGGTTATATCTAAAGTTCTCTGAACCCGCATAGGACAAAATTACTTGTTTCATAGCCAGAACACTGATCCCCAAACTCTTGTAGCTTGTTTGGTTCTAGGAAAAGTAGTGACAGGTTAAAACTTGACAGGCTGGGGCTGGAGCGACAGGACAGTGAGTGGGGCGTTTGCCTTGCACGTGGCCAACCTGGGTTCGATTCTCAGTATCCCATATGGTCCCCTGAGCATCACCAGGTATAACCCAAAAAGAAAAATAAGAAAAAAAAAAAAAACTTTAGCAGGTATACATCACCTTTTCTTGCCAGTATCACATTTCCAGCCCCAGCTGAGCACAGGGATGCAGAGTGGGTGAGAAGCTACAGAGACGCTCTCCTCTGTTCACCTCATAGTCACGAGAGAAAATAGCCAGCACTGAGGATCTGAGCCAGTCTGTGTACATCGTTCCCGACAAACCAACTAAGCCCCATCTCCACTCCAGGGATTTTCTCTGACTGCCAACAGGAGGCCAAGCTGTTTTTGTTTGGGGTCACACCCAGCAATGCCTCGGGCGTACTCTTGACTCTGCACTCAGGATTACTCCTGGAAGTGCCCAAGGGATCCGATGGGAGGCCGGGGATGGGACCTGGGTGGGCAGCATGCAAGGCAGCACCCAACCCACTGTGCTCCAGACATCCCCCAGGAGGCCGGTGTGGGCTGGCTAGACCAACCAGTCTGAATCCCAGACACTGCGCTCACTGAGTCCCTCCCCTGGCACGCCTGGGCCTCTCCGCTCGTGCTCCTCACAGTGCTCCTCGCTAGTTTTATTTAGTTAGTATTTTTGTAGCACCTGACCATGCTCTGCACCCCTGTGCTCAGCCTGGGCTGAAAACGCAATACTGGCAATAAATGACATGATGTAACATGTCAAGTTTTAGCCTGGTAGCCTCTAACTTTTCCTGTAACCAAATAAGCTAAAAGTTTGGAGATGGGTGTTCTGATTGCTCTGGGCCACCGCGTCCTCATCACTCAGCTCCACAGCAGAGCCTCCTGCTGCACTAATCTGAGAAGTTGACCTTAACATTCTCCTTGTAAACAGTGCACACAGGATGGTCTCTGCTCCGCTCCCAGTTTCACCCCGAGCTCTAAGGAAAAAAAGGCGAAGGGGCCGGAGTGACGGTACAGCGGGGAGGGCATTTGCCCTGAATGTAGCTGACCCAGGTTCAGTTCCTGGCACTCCATATGGTTCGCAAGCCACCCAGGAGTAAGTCCTGAGCACCACTAGGTGTGACCCAAACTAACTGAATAAAAATACACTGTAGCTCATCATCCCCCCCGAAAAACCACACACACACACACACACACACACACACACACACACACACACAGAATGAGTGGCCACCAACGACCCACACCCTGTAGAAGACCCCTGTCCCTTACGCGGACAAGAGAGGTGCTTTATCCCGTATCCTGGGAACTGTCACAGCCTCTTCCCTCTGCCTTCCTCCCTTTCGTGAGAGCACCTTAGGGGTTGGCCTGGATAACTGAAACCTTTGCTGCTGCATTTAAACAGAGGCAGAACAAAAACAGTACACGGAAGCAGCAGGACAAAAGAAGCCTGGGGTCAAACGGCAGCCAGGTTTCTTGCCACTCTTTCCCTCCGTTGCAAGATGAACTGAGCCAGACGGATTGCAAGGTTCATTCCTCCCAGCCCCAGAACCCAGAAGGCAGTGAAGGGGATACGCACTGACATCCTCGGAAAGCTGGGGAAACTCATAGATATGTTCACAAGTGTTCCTACTGCTGGGGATGCAGAAGCCAAAATCAAAGTCAAAATTTTTCAGCAAGTGCTCCCGGAAATAGTGTCGCTCAATCATTCGGAAGTTTGACACTGGCCGGTCTCCCACTGTGAACTCCACCCTGCAAAAGAAATCTCAGTAAGCCTCACTTTGTCTGAGAGCCAACCTCAAACGCCATCCAGAACATTCTTCCCTGGGAACAAGCAGAATGCTCCACCACCAGGCAATGCCCCAACTCACGTGGCCCCAACGGTCCGGAGGCGGAGAAATGCTGGTGTGAACTGATAGCGAACAAAGCGTCCAGCACTGACATCCACTTCTCCACCTTCCTCCTCCTCCTCCTCTTGGTCTGAAAGAGCGCAAGCACAGTGAGGGCACCATTAGTTCATCCAACAAGACCGAGCAAGAGCACTGACACTCGCCCAGGGCTCGAGCTTGGAAGTAGCATGCATGCCCCTTCCAAGCATGAGGTCCTAGATAAAATTCCAGCGGTACAAAAAGAAACCAAGAGCGGCCACTGGGAGTAGGATGGCCAATCTTGACTTCGTGCTGAACGCTGCAGAGTCCTGGCAAATGCCCTCAAGGATGTTTCTAGTTCTCCATTTTAGAGATCAAGAAGCAGCAGCTCCAGCTCAGAGAGACTAACAACAGACCGACAGTCCCTGAAACAGGAACAGAGTACCAGGAATCGAAGCCAGGTTCACGTGATGCAGTCCTGTATAAATGCAGGCACAGTCACCTGAGGGCCACCGAAACAAAAACTGGGTACGAGGTCCCTGAGGAGGGTTGTGCTAAACAGACGAGGTGGACAGCTGAAGTGTCAGCTACTAGCCAGAGGAATGACAGAGACCAAAGCCAGACCAAAGCCACAGGCTCTTTCAGAAATGCAAGATACTCAGCGACTGGTTGATTGATTGATTGATTTTTTAATGTAGGAGTACTGCTATTTATTCAGCCACTAGCTTAGCTGATTGAATTGGGCATGAACTCCACAATACTCAGCGATTTAGACAACTTACCCAGTAAGTCTAAGGCTGTGAGTTTAAAGATGCAAAATTTCTGGATATGCAGCAAAGTAAAATCTTTACAAATAATCTGTTGCTGTTGTTAGTTGTGAGGTTCATTCCCAAAGAAGCTCCGGAGGTCCAGAGTCACTTGCAGAGGTCTTCGGGGGCCACTAGGCCATTCCCCGGAAGTGCTCAAGGGGTCACGCAGTGCTGGGGATCTAAACCACTTGAGACACATCCCAGGCTCCCAATTCTAGTATCTCCATGGAGGACACTGACCTGGGGTACTGAGCTTCCTGGGACTGGTACCTATTTCCGGCCACAGAAGGCCCAGCTCTGAGTGGGAAAGGGTGAGACAGTTGGACAATGAACCAATGTTTGGGACCTGAGTGAGGGTCCGCAAAGGCTCTGTTCTAGTCCATTCCTGAATCAGGTGATGAAAGATTTATAACATGAATTAGAGAACCATTCTGATGGTTCTCTAAACAAGGAGTCAGTCCCCTCTCGAAGCCCCCAGGGTGCAGCAAGGGTATTCTCTCCAAGAATGACCTAAAATAAGAATTTTCCTTTAGGGGCCAGAATGAGAGTACAGTAGCATGGGTCACTTGCCTTGAATTGCAGCCAACTCTGGCTCGATTCCCAGCATCCCATATGGTCCCCTGAACACCAAGGAGTGGTCCCTGAGCACAGAGCCAGGCATAATCCCTGAGCATTCTGGGTGTGGCCCAAAACCAAAAAGAAAAAAAAAGCTGTAGTTTTCTTTGAGTAACCAACACCTCTAACTGACAATCAGACTGAACAGGAGCTCCAACTCAGAGGCTCCAGGCGGCTCAAGGACGTGATTCAGTGATCCCCATCAGCTATGACAAGTGCTTATACAGGGTGTGATTTCACACACACATTCTACTGAATCAGAACCCTTAAGGGGAAGGACTGGACAGGACAAAAATCAAGAGACAAAGTATCTGTAAACACACTTCACACAGCTCAGTGCTTGTTCCAAGTGACTACTCGAAGTCTAATACGAACCCACTCATGTCAGGCGGGATTGCTGGCTAGAGGGGTGAGTGCATACAAGGAGCCCGGGCCTTATCCTCACGCACAGAGCCAGGACTAGGTCCCGAGCACCAACAGATGTGGCCCCCAAATAAAAATACACCCAAAGTAGCCCTGGGGGTCCTCATGATCTTTAGTACTAGAAAACGTGGCTGAGCACGGATTTCCCAAGACAATGAGCACCCACAAGACTGAGTCTTTCGGGCACTGGTTTGCACTAGACTGTGACCATGAATCTTAAGTGAGACGTTCTCTCAGGAAGGCCTCTAAACCTCTCTGAGAAACTGATACCTGACTTAACAAAATTAGTGGCTCTTTCTTAGATGCGAATCAGATGAGAAAAAATCTTGTGAAAAAGAACTGTTAGCACAGACCAGAACTGACACTTGAAGGGAGGTCAGGCTGGTGTTCTGGGATCCAACTCCAGGGGGTGCTAGGTCGCCAGTCACCGGCTCCCAAGGTTTCTACCCGGTGCCAGCAATGAAATCACCCTGCACTGCAGCACAGCACAGGAAGGCTCTATTCAGGGCTAATTTAAGGAACCCCACGGAAATGAGTTCATAGGTCTGGGCTTTCTGTTCACTCAAAAGATGGTAGAAACAGAAATTCAAACAAGGCTTTGGGGCACAATTTAAAGGAAGGGGAGTAAGGAGGGAGGTGAATGGCTCATGGTCAGGCCCGTAGTGTTACCTTTCTGGGATTCTGGAGAATCCTAGAAAGGATCCCAACACCGGTGAACTTCCCTCATTACTGGCTTCCCCGCAACCCCTACCCCAACCCATTTTTTGGGTCACACCCAACGATGCTCAGGGGTTACTTCTGGCTCTGCAATCAGGAATTACCCCTGGCAGTGCTTGGATAGGATGCTCGGTTTCAAACCCACATTAGGTACGTGCAAGGCAAGCGCCCTACCCGCTGAACTATCGCTCCTCATTACTGTTTAATTTCAATAATTCCTTTTCTGGGACTGGAACAATAGTTCAGTGGCCTCACACATGTCTGACCTGGGCCCAATATCCCACACCCCACATGGTCCCCCAAGCCCACCAGCAGTGATCCCTGGGCACACAGCCAGATTTAGCCTTGAACACTGCTAGGTGGAGCCCAAAAAACAAGCAGAAAAACAAAGAAAGAATTCCTTTCCTAACTGGAGACAATATGGTGCAAAGAAAAGTGAATGTTTGGGGATAGAGCTCAGGGGTCGAGCACTTGCTGTGCATGTGTGTGAGGCCCTGAGTTTAATCCCTGACACCACAAAGAAAGGATGTCAAATACATAGGACCTTGGGGGGGGGGGCGGGGAAATCGATGGAAATTCTGGGTCTGAGTTTCCTGTTCTATGAAATGGGAGGCGCTCCTCCCAGAGCTGTGAGGATGACGTGAGCAGAAATCCACTGAAAGATGCAGACACAGTGACCAGCAGCAGCAGAGGGCCAACGGGCACAGCTTCTTCCTGGCATGCTCCTTAGTTCCCACAAGTGGGCCAAAGGTTGCACCGGAACACAGTTGAGCCTTTTTTGGATTTGTTTTGGGGCCACACCTGGCAGTGCTCCGATCTTACTTCTGGCTCTCCATTCAGAGATCACTCCTGGTGAGCTTGGGGCTCATATGGAGTGTCTGGTCAGCTGCACGCAAGGCAGGCGCCCTGTGCACTGTGCTATCTCTCCAGCCCCACATCTGAGCTTTTTTTTTTTTTCTTTTTCGGTCACACCCAGCGATGCACAGGGGTTACTCGTGGTTCAGGCACTCAGGTATTACTCCCAGAGGTGCTCGGGGTGTCATATGAGATGCTGGGAACGAACCCGGGTTGGCCACGTGCAACACAAACACCCTACCCGCTGTGCTATCACTCCAGCCCCCCACATCTGAGCTTTCAAAAACTTTTCTGGGCGGGGGAGATAGCTAGAGAGGGTCAGAGCATGTGCCTGGAATGCAGAGGCCCATGTTTAATCCCTGGCACCGCTTCACCAGCTGAGCAATGCTGGTATGGTTCTGGTGGCTCCCGTCATCACTGAAGAAATCCTCCCCAGGAGAAAAAAAAAAGGCCTTTTGCTCCATATGTCAGTGATAGCTACAATACAGAGGCCTACCTGAAGCACAAGGTTTGGCGATCTCAAAAAGCACTGTCCCGGTCTCCAAATCTCGAATTTTGAAGCGGGTAAAATCAATACTGTAGATATTGTCTTCAGGTTTACATAAATAATCTGCAAATGAGAACAAGACCAATGCTGTTAATCCCTCTAAACTATTCTTAAAGGTAAGGTAAAGGCCCTCTCATTGTTCGTCGATTTGCTCAAGTGGGCCCAGTAACGTTTCCATTGGAGACTTTGTTGTTACTGTGTCTGGCATATCGAATACGTCATGGGGAGCTTGCCAGGCTCTGCCGTGCGGGCGAGATACTCTCAGTAGCTTGCCGGGCTCTCCGAGAGGGGCGGAGGAATCGAACTCAGGTCGGCCATGTTGGCTGCGTGCAAGGCAAATGCCCTACCACTGTGCTATCGCTCCAGCCCAAAAGTTATTCCCTATTTAATTTAATGGTGAGGGTGACCATTATTTTAGCCATAACAGTTTCATCATTTCCAAAAACAGCCTCTTCACTACCCACTGAGCTCTCCATTCTCTCTCTCCTCTGGTTCGCTGTGCTATGACTCCAGCCCCGAGAAATCTACTTTAGAAGGTCAATGCTGAGGACCCGAGGGTAGAGCACATTCCAGGCATGGACATAGCCAAAGTTAATGCCCCGGCACCACATGGTGCCCCCCCAGCATGCTGAATACAGCCCTGGCAGCCCCAGCCCACTAGGCCAGAGCACTGAAGTGTCAAGGAACACTGCGGGCCCAAATATTCAGTCCTTCACGCAATCCAATACAGAAGTAAGTAAAACTTTTTGCTGATTCAATGCTTAAAAATGTGTTCTTCACCAACTACCAGTAGCATAAAGCAGAGACCAGCAAACTGTTTCCGTAAAGGGCCAGAATATTAATGATTTAGGCTTTGCAGCCACACAAATCTCTTTCCAGACTATTTAGCTCTGCAGCTGCAGGCAATATACAAGTGGGTGAACATGACTGCACTTCAATAGAGACAAATTTCGTATAGACACGTGTCACAGATATTCTTTGTTTTCAGTCATTTAAAAATGTAGGACACAAGCTTCTAGCATGTGCGCTGTACACCGTAACAAGGTGGTGGGCTCCAGAGACACAGGGAGGGGGACAGACTGGCCACTGAGAGCCGATCAAAGGGATCAACTTCCCGGTTCCTTCAGTGACACCTGGCCCAGCAACTTCTCCTCAACACTTCATCCGAGATCACCACATTTATGTTACTTGTTCTATGCTTCAACAAGTTGTTTCTACAATAAGAGGCAAATTTGAGAGTTGCTGATTATTCTGAGATTCCAAGCAAGACTGAGTATTGGCTTTCTGTTTTAATTTTTGGGCCACATCTGGCAGTGCTCATGGGTTACTCCTGGTGGGGCTCGGGTAGGGGGGCTATCTGGAATGCAAGTGATTGAACTCAGGTTGGCCCTGTACAAGGCAAGCACCCTGCCCACTGTCCTATTGCTCCGGCCCCTGAGATTGGGTTTTGCACCTATAGAAGATGTGAGGCCCAAGACAGAGAAGCAGAACAGGAATTAAGACACTTGCCTTGTTGCTGACCCTGGCTGGAATCCCAGCACCGCATCATGGTCCCCTAACCACTCCCAAGGGTCACTCCTGGGCACCTCAGCATGTGGTCCAAACACCCCCCCCCCACACACACACACACACAAAAATATCTGTACAGGGCCAAAGAAATAGATCAAGTGCTAGAGGAACACAGTCCTAGAATGCGCAAGGCATGAGTTCAATCCCAGGCACCACACGGATCCCTGAGCAACTACCAGGTGTGGACTCAGCAGGATCAAGTGCGGAACCATCAGGCCCAACCACAGGGCTGGGCATAGTTCCCTAGTGTCCCCCACCCCCAGCTCTGCTGGGGTGACCCCTATTAGAATACACAAAGAACCCTGCTGAATGGAACAGCGTTTGAGAAGAGTAACAAAACTCAGCAGTCCCCAAGCTCGGAACTGTGTCCTTCTCCAAACAGCTGCAGAGGTAGGACAGTCATGGTCCCAAATTCCAGGGCCTGTGTGCCCACAGAGAAGGGCTCTCCGGGCCAGGCATTCCAGTGGCCACTCAGCCCTGAGACCAAGAAAATGGTTCCACAGGCCAGGTGCCGGGCACTTCTGGACTCTCTTATTTATAAATCAGCGTGCGTGCATGCATCTGCGTATGTGGTGCTGGGAATCAAACCCAAGACCTCACCCATGTAAGCCACACACTGCCCCACTGGGCAGCAGCCCCTCTGGACCGCTAGAGCCCAAAGGACACCAGGTAAGGACGGAGGTAGCTTGGCCACCACGTTTCCATGGCGCTGAAGTGTGACATCCTCCTCAGAGAGAATGGGGCATGCAAAGGGCAGCCCGCCCCTTCGAAGAAACCCTGAAGGAAACGTGGCTCACCCACCCGCCACTAGCTGCAAGGCAAGACCACTTTGGGACCCGGAATTCCCTTCCACAGACGCTGGATGCCAAGATACAGCACGCCCCCGCCCCCAAATCCTACTAAGCTGCCCCCAGGCCGCCAGTGTCCAGGTACTGTTGGGGATGAAGGGTGGCCGGCTGCCAACGTCGTCCAGCACAGAGGCGGGAGGCAGCCTTCCACGCCAGCTCCGAAGGGCACGGGAGGGAATGGGCAGGGCAAGCAGGTACCAACCAGGTGACCTTCGGGGCGGGGTGGTCCCGGGGGAGGGGAGCAAGACAGAAGGGGTCAAGGCAGGGTCTGGCCAGGAGAAAACAGAAACCACCAGGGTCCGCAGGGCGCGTGACCAACAGACTTTTGGGCCTTCTTCCGACACTCGCTTCTACCAATGAGAAGGCGCAGGCGGGCTGGAGCGACGGCACAGCGGGGAGGGCGCTGAGTTTGAGTCCCAGCACCCCGCGGGGTCCCCCCCGTCGCTCCCGAGTGCAGTGCCAGGAGGGACCCCGAAAGGCCCGGCCAGGGGCATCTTCTGCAAGAAACTCGTTTCCAACACACGCTGGGGGGCGGGGAGGGGAGGCGACTTCACGGGCGCTGCTCCCCGAGGTGCAAAGCCCCGGTCCAGCCCTCGACGCTCCCGCCCGGTTCCCGACCCGCTCAAGCAACTGTCAGAAGCAGGGTCCGAGCCTCAGACGGGCACAAACCCTGAGCTCCGGTCCAGGTGGTTTTTTTTCCGAGTCACACCGGCGAGGCTCAGGAATCCCTCCCGGCGGTGCTCGGGGGACCCTGGCGGCCGCGCACACGGCTCGGCCCCCGCTCCAGCGCTTCCCGGTCCGGTTCCAGGCCGGCCCGAGAGAGACGCCAGCTAGAACCGGTCCCAGCCCTGCGCCGAGGCACGGGCCGCGCCGGGACCCCCGAGGGCGGCGGCGCCCCGGGCCCGGCCCCGCCCCGCCCCGCCCCGCGCGCCGGGAGGGGGAGGGGGAGGGGCCGCCGGGGGCGCGGGCGGGGGGCGCCGCCGGGGGGCACTCACTCTCGGTGACCCGGCCGAGGCGCAGGACGTGCTCGGGCCGGATGGCGTCCAGAGTCAGCAGCTCCTGCTCCGTGACGGCCGCCCCGACGCCGTCGTCGGCCGCGACGGGGGGCGCCTGCCGCCGCCCCTTGAGCCGGTTCAGGACGCCGCCGCCCGCCTTCTTCTTCTCCTCCTTGCCAGCCGCCAGCCCCCGGGGCCCGGCCGCCGAGCCCGCGGCCACGGCCTTCGGGTTCGGCCCGTTCATCGCGCCGCCGCCAAGATGGCCGCCGCCTCCACAGCGCCGTAACTATGGAGAGCGGGGGCGGGGCCCGCGAGGGGCCGGGCGGGGCGGGGCCCGCGAGGGGTCGGGCGGGGCGGGGCCTGCGGGCGGGCGGGGCGGGGCGAGGCCGGCGGGACAGGGCCTACGAGGCGGCGGAGCGGGGCCTGCGGGGGGGCGGGGCGGGGCGAGGCCGGCGGGACAGGGCCTACGAGGCGGCGGAGCGGGGCCTGCGGGGGGGCGGGGCGGGGCCTACGAGGCGTCGGGGCGGGGTCTGCGGGACGGGTCGGGCGGGGCCTGCATACCGGGCGGGGCGAGGCCGGCGGGACAGGGCCTACGAAGCGGCGGGGCGGGGCCTGCGAGGAGACGGGTGGGGCGGGGCATAGCCGGCGGGGCGGGGCCTACGAGGCGGCGGGGCGGGGCCGGCGGGGCGGGGTCGGGCCTGCGGGGCGGGGGGCGGGGCGAGGCCGGCGGGACGGGGCCTACGAAGCGGCGGGGCGGGGCCTGCGGCACGGGTGGGGCGGGGCATGGCCGGCGGGACGGGGCCTACGAGGCGGCGGGGCGGGGGCGGGGCGAGGCCGGCGGGACAGGGCCTACGGGGCGGCGGGGCGGGACCTGCGAGGGGCCGAGCCGCAGCGCTGCCCTTTCGCCAGCTTTGGTCCAGCCGGGGGTGGGTGAGCCGAAGGGTGACTTCAGACCTTAGAACCCTTCAGATTCTCACATCAGTCTACCCACGTCACCCCAGACGTTTTAAAATATCCCGTACGGTCAAACGACTTTTCTATATAAACTGTGAAAAGGCATCTTGAGAAAACGTGTGTTTTTTATTTTTAACCTGCAACAATGAACATCAAGCAGGGGCCGGAGCCCTAGTCGAGCGGGGAAGGTGTTTGCTTTGTACGCGGTTTGATCCCCTGCACCCTGCCAGGCGTGATCCCTGAGCAAGTGTCAGGAGTCAGCGCTAAGCACCACCAGGTGTGCCCCCTCCAAACACACACACACACAGACACAGAATAAACGTCTTTCCTACCCCCCGGCTAGGCTTCGGAGGTGACGCGAGGCTGAGCTACCAGCGGGAATGAGCATAGAAGGGCAGAGATGGGTCTGCGAGGCCGACTGCATCATTCCTTGTGCCTCTTCCCCTCCACCAGCCTTTTAAGTCCGAATGAAGACAAACCAGACCGCTGACTAGCCAAAGCGCTACCAAGTACCAGCCAGTGGGGGGAGGGGGAGAGTGGGAAGCAGGGACATCTGCAGTCGCCTCAAAAGATGATGATTTCATCGACTGGAGGAGCCGGGCGTGGCGAGGGGCACACTGTTGCATCCCAAGTGGCCGGATCCACACTCCTGGGTTGGAGGCTGCCGTCTGACTAATACAGAGTGGGTGTGAGGCCTGACATTATCTCAACCAGACTTAAGTCAAAGAGGAACTCCACCCCCTCCCTGCCCCCCATGGCCAACCTCAAGGTTTATGTCCAGCCTTGCTGGGTCGCTGGATCTGGGAGGGGCTGACAGGCCTATCCTGGTTCCTGGGCAAAATCCATGCCTGACTCCTCAGCTGCTCTGTGTTGGCACAGTAGGTGGACAGATTCCAGTCTAAATGCTGCCCTGACTTTGAGAGATAAACTCTGGGAACACCACCTGTTCGTGGAAATTTTAATAAATGTGTACAAAGAATGTCCCTATGCAGATGTGTATTTTTTTTAATACTACTGAACAGAGTGATTACTGAAGAGTTTCCAGGACTTTAATTATGCAACTGATGGTGATTTATTGGGCAGACATTCTCCATACTTACTTGCTCACTGAACCGCTCTTCTCAGACTAGACCAGTTATCCAGACCTGTGGCTGGAGAAATAGTACAGCTGAGAGGGCTTTGCCTTGCACATAGCCAACCTGAGTTCAATCCCCGGCATCCCATATGGTCCCCCAAGCACTGCCAGGAGTAATTCCTGAGTGCAGAACCAGAAATAACCCCTGAGCATTGCCGAGTTTGACCCAAAATCCACCCCCTCCCCCAAAAAGGTTACCTGAACTACTACATTTTCTAGGAATGCTGACAAATTGATAAGCCTATTTACCTGCAGTTCCACATCCAGGAATTTGGCTCTCTTGCTTGTAGATAGATGTTTACTACAGGACCATTTATAGCACTAAGTATTGTAATAAATTATGGTTGGTTCCATTTATGTCATGCAGCTAAAAAGAATGAGCTCTGGGGCTGGAGAGATAGCACAGCGGGTAGGGTGTTTGCCTTGCACGCGGCCGACCCGGGTTCGATTCCCAGCATCCCATATGGTCCCCTGAGCACCGCCAGGAGTAACATCCTGAGTGCAGAGCCAGGGGTAACCCCTGTGCATGGCCGGGTGTGACCCAAAAAGCAAAACAAAAAAAAAAGAATGAGCTCCATCCATATATTCTAGCATGGAGATATCTCAAAGATGTATTGTTTGTTGGGGGCACGGGATGAATGAATACAACTACCAATTTTTTAAAGAAAAGTAGGGTGTGGCGGGTCTAGAGACGTAGTACAGTGGGTAAGGCACTTGTCTGGCATGCACCTCACCCGGATTCAATCTCCAGCACCCCATATTAATTGTGGATAAAAGGGAAAGATTCTGGCCTTTTTTTAAAAAAAAATAGTACCAGAGGCTGACCAAGGGCCTCACCCATGAAAGGCAGTGCTCTACCAAACTGTTTCACCATCCCTAAGGCCTTGTCCCCAGATCACCTCTGGATGTGGGCATAGTAACCCCTAAACAACCAGCATGGCCCCTAAAATGCAATCAGAGAAAGTATTCATCTGAAAGTATACATCCTGCTTGCAGGAAAGATTCCGACTTACTGCATTCAACGGTAGCAGGTCATGGTTTCCTGGGGCTAGACTTCCCACGGGAAGACTGAAGTAGACACTCTGGGCCCCTTTTAGCCCACGTCAGTGCTCTGCAAGACCCTCTCCGTCAGCTGGCTGTTTTCCTTGCTGTGAGATATTTGACAGTGGCTGTTTTCCAGGGTAGTCCCAGAGTAGCCAGGCAGTCTGCCTCAAATCAGGTCAGGCAGGTGGGGCCTGGGGCTGGGAACGGCCTGGGTACGGCCAAAGTAAGCAAGTAATCTGAGGGTTTTTTCCTGCAGACTAGCAAATCCTCCTTCCTGCCTCCTGACCTAAAGGTGGCACGTGGGGGAACAGCCCAACTGTGGTTGGGTTGCAGGCATGCCGTGTGGTTTGGAACTAGTCACTTCCCTAGAACCCAAGCCACTTTTTCTTAGACTGGTTGAGGGACTGTTTTTAAAAAAACACATATTGGTTATTTATATCTAACCTGTTTCCAAAAATGATTTCTGGCACATTCCAAAGTTCTACCACACCAGACTAGTGAATGAAAATTCATGTGGTCTAATTGAGAGCTGTATGTCTAAATTTTTAAATTGCATATAACTGATTTCTCAACAGAATTCTGAAGAAACAATTGTGCATGTGTACTATATGCAAATGTATGTAGGTTCCTATACCTATCTATATAACACAGAGGCCTACATATAAAATTAGGCTGCTACCTATTATTTTTCTCTAAGATTAGGATAGGGAAAACAATGAGTTCTCAAATTTTGTATCCATATATGTCTTTTTATTTATTTGCTTTTTGGGTCACACCTGGCAATGCACAAGTGTTATTCCTAGCTCTGCACTCAGCAATTACCCCTGGTGGTGCTCAGGGGACCATATGGGATGCTGGTACTCAAACCCGGGTCAGCCACGTGCAAGGCAAATGCCCTCCCTGCTGTGCTATTGCTCCAGCCCCGAGCATGTGTCTGTTTTTGAGATGCCGAGGACCGTATCCAGCGCTTCAACATGCAAGACAAGTGCTCCAACACTGACATAGACTCCTGACCCTGTACCCCAATATAATTTGTTTTGATGTGAAGGTATACAATTAAATATTGTAATAAAAATGTATGGGCTGGAGCGATAGCACAGCGGTAGGGCGTTTGCCTTGCACGCAGCCAACATGGCCGACCCGAGTTCGATTCCTCCGCCCCTCTCAGAGAGCCCGGCAAGCTACCGAGAGTATCTCACCCGCACGGCAGAGCCTGGCAAGCTCCCCGTGACGTATTCGATATGCCAAACACAGTAACAACAAAGTCTCCAATGGAGACGTTACTGGGCCCGCTCGAGCTCGAGCAATAAAAATGTATATATATATACACATTTGTTTAGGAGTCTGAAGCAATAGCACAGTGGGTAGGGCGTCTGCCTTGCACGCAGCCGACCTGGGTTCGATTCCCAGCATCCCATATGGTCCCTGGAGCACCGCCAGGAGTAATTCCTGAGTGCAGAGCCAGGAGTAACCCCCTGAGCATTGCCGGGTGTGACCCAAAAAGAAAAAAAACAGAAAAAAGAATGTACAGGGTCCTGAGTGGCAATAAAAATTAAGACCTTGAGTGATCCTTGAGCATCAAGGGTGTGACTGCAAAACTAAAAACAGATAGATGTGGCTCAGTCAATGCACATGCCTTGCATGCCGAGAAATGGGCTCAATTTCTGGCTCTGCAAATAAGTAAATAGTACCTCATGGGGCCAGAGAAATAGCACAGTGGTTAAGGTCTTTGCTTTATACTCAGCTGATCCTGGTTCAATCCCTGACACTGCCAAGAGTGATCCCTGAGCACATGGTCAGGTGTAAGCCCTAAGCACCACCAGGTATGGCCCGAAAACCAAATAAATAGCATCTCAGCATCAAGCGTGCAGGCTCTATGGCTACAGAGAGCTGAATTCCAGGTCTCACTTAACCATCCTTGTGACTGAAATATTCCGTTTCCTCACTAATGTCAAGCTGCTTACATGCCTTTCCAAAGGTTGTTGTAAAGAGGGGATGAAAACGAAAAGCACCATTCAGGTGCCAGGGAAAGTATCTCATGAACTCTGGCAATATATTCAAGTGGACTCTTTCTCCAGTCCTCTCTGCGAAGGACAGGCACACGGTGCAGAAGGCACGGAGCTAGATGGGAGTGCAGGGACTGAAAATACTCAGACTAGAGCAAACTCAAACAAGCTGGAGCCCAGACCCTGAGGAAACAACAGATGGATTATGCAGTACTGAGGAAATACTGAAGAGCACCTCTAAGTAAACACCCAAGCCAAAAAGCATGTAGTATTATTTTTAATTTATGTGATTAGCAATAAACAAAAGGGAGATTCTGGGGCCAGAGTAAGGCAACCAACTTTCCAGTAAATGTGTAGGAAAATCTCATCTTTCTTCCTCTACAGGGTCGGGAGCGGGAGGGGGGGGGGGGGGGAGAGGGTGAGGTACTAAGGATGGAGAATGGTCCGACACAGCGGCTCCAGCCAACCCGGAGCCTGATTTCCTTAGTGAGATTAAGATCTGGACCCAAGGAGTGGTTTAACCCAACCCCCAGCACTTGGCCCAAGATCGTGGTCAGACAGTTTCCCTCCCTGCAACTCCCTAGAGCAAGGCTTCTTCAGGTCTCGTCCCCATTTGGCAGCTCAAGCGAATCGCCTTGAAATAGTAACAGCTAAGTAAAGAATCAGTCAAGAACTCGCTCTGGGTGGGCTCAAGCTAAGAAAGAGGCTCTGTGGGCCTCCTGGCCGATTCAAGGTCGGAATAGACTCCATCCAACACTGGTCTTATTCTCTGGGCTGAGTACTGATTTCTGCCCTTCACAGGGTAAATGAGGGAGGCGATCCAAACTCTGCCCTATATGCAGCAGTCGCCATTCCTGCTGGGAGAAATACGGCAGGCAGGTTCTGGGGCCCAACCACACAGCATCATGAGGTCGCCATTCCCGCTAGGAGACATACGGAAGAGGTAGGTTCTGGGCCCCTACCACAAAGCACCACAGGGAAATGAAAAGCAGCAGCTATGATGAAGGGCAAGAGACAGGGCCAAAAATCCCGACTTCGCCTTTTGCTGGCATGGCCTAAAGCCAGTCATCTCTAATCCCAACAGGTTTCTTGAAGATGAAACAGAGATAACATCTGTAAAAGCACTTGGCATTGTGCCTGGACATTTCAAGGGCTCAATAAAGGATATCTATAATTACCATTCTTTTTAGTTTTGTTTGGTTTGGGGGCCACACCCAGCTGTGCTAAGGGTTTACTTCTGGCTGTGCACTTAGGGAGCACTCCTGCCATGCTCAGAGGACCATATATGCAGGGATCAAACCTGGGCTGGTTGTGCACAAGGCAAGTATTTACCCGCTGGGCAATCTCTCTGGGCCCTATATGATTACTGTTCTTACGGGCTTGGAAAGCACATGGACTTTGCAGGCAAGTGGAAGGAATTTCATTTGCGGTTTAACTACTGACTAGTCTTGTATCGCGGGTAGGGCATTTGCCTTGCACGAAGCCAACATGGCCGATTCCTCCGCCCCTCTCAGAGAGCCCAGCCAGCTACCGAGAGGACCTCGCCGGCACGGCAGAGCCTGGCAAGCTCCCCGTGACATATTCGATATGCCAAACACAGTAACAAGTCTTACGATGGAGACGTTACTGGGCCCACTCGAGCAAATCGAACAACGGGAGGTCTGTGACCGTGCTTTTATGTTTCATGTTACTCAGCTATAAAACATGGCATATTTGTAAATTATAAGCAAAACCTGGGGTTTTGTTTTACGGTAACACTTGGTGATGCTCAGGGCTCTGTGCTCAAAGATCATTCCCAGTGGAGTTCATGCACAGTTCAATCAGCCTAATCAGTGGCTGAATAAATAGCAGCCACTCCTACATAAATAAATAAATAAATAAATAAATAAATAAATATGACTCCTGGTGGTGTCCAGGGTGCCAGGGACGAAACCCCAGTTGGCCACGAGCAAGGCAAACGCATTACCTGCTGTATTATCTCTCTGGTTCCAATAGTGAATAATTTCTTTTCTTTCTGCCAAATGTAAGTACATGGGCCAACATATATACTTATATCAAAACATACACTAAGAGGAAAAGAAAGCAGAAAAAAAAAAAACCATGGCTTGTTAGTGTGTCCACAAGCTCTCTGGAGGCTGAAAGACAGAAAAAGGCAACAGCGCTTGGCTTGTCTGTCTTAGGAGTGAGACTATCATCTGGTTCCAGTGAAAGTGGAAACAAACAAAAGAAACTGTTTATTTTTCCTTGAATGATCTGCTGGCTCAAAGGGCCAGGCAGGGGTATTACAGAACTTCATCAAACAAATATCCCAGTGGAAAGAAAAGCAGGAGATACGAGGCTGCATGAATAGAAGCTCCTAGCTTTCTCAAGGGGAACCCATTAAAGAGACACACCGAGGCCTCCCTTCTGCCACCCCATCACTTCGCTGCTTTGCAATCGAGTTCAAACTCAATCCCAACACAGAGTGTCACTGCAAATTGTTTATTAAAACACAAAGCAATGGACAGTGAAAAACATCCTGATTTTTTTTTAACTTTTTGGTGGGAATAGGGTGGGGTCGTGGAAGGGGTAGGGACAGATGGAGACAGCCCAGAAGGAAAGACAGCTCTATCCACCCCTACTGCTTCACCGGGCCAACCAGGTCCAAGCTCCTCAGTTACATCTCACTGTGCTGCTGTACATGTGTGGTTACAGAGAAGGAGTTCAACTGGCCTCCGCAGGGAGAAGACGGGAATCTAGGGTGGGAGTCGCAAGCACTTGACACTATTCTCCAGGATTTGGTACAGGACAGAGCAGCCAGGCCCAACGTGGAGGGGCAGTCTTGGTTTCTTGGCAAGTCAAGATCAGGCCGATGATTGAAGAGGCTGCCCTGAGCTCCAAAGGGTGCTAGCGTGGGAGACTGTGCTGGGACGAAAATCAAAGGAGCGATCTAATCCAGGGTCCAATTTCTTTTCATTCCCTGGACCATGACATACCAGGGCAGAGAGCCTACTAGTCAAGAATGTCTCTCACTCCTGGATTTGCCATAACGTCTCTCCCTGCCAATTCTCTACTCCCACCTGGCAAATTCAGCTCTCCTTTTCCGACAGTTGTCCTTTGAAAGGACGGAAAGCACACTTCAGTTTGTTGTTGTTTTTCCTCATACTGTCATAAAGCACTGAAGCTCAAAATAGAGGTGAGAACAGAGTTCTGCTTTTCCTGGTGCGATGTGCCCCCCATCACACAAGTCTGCCTGGATGCGAGAGGTGCCAAGGCCCTCTCTGCCAACTCTAGCAGGCACTACTGTTTCCCTGGCTGCCAGCACAATCTTGGCTCCTTATATTTATACTCAGGGCGGGGGGTGGGGGACACTGAGGGGGGGGAAGGAACCTGTCCCCAGAGACCCATCCTGCTCTTTTCCTGCCAACCCAGCCAATCCCCAAATTATCTTCTCTTATCAAAGTGAACTGGCAACCTAAAGAAAGGCTGGCCAAAAGGCAGCTGGGGAAGGACAAAGCCAATGGGCAGCTAGCCACCCATGCACAAAGACAAAACCCGCCCTCACCGGGCAGTTGACCCATCGGTGCCATTCTAGTACTGTAACAAAACGAGGAACTCTAGCCCTCTTGTCCCAGGAGAGGTCTAAGACAAAAGAGTCTGATCTTGGACTAAAAGGGAGAAATGACTCTGATCTCTCAGAAGCTTGAACTTGAAGCTTCTTCGCAATTTTCTTAGAGCTCTTTGATCCCTAATTATATCTTTCCATAAAAGAGAAGCAGATTTCTTCTGAGATTTCTGAAGAGATTCTGGGTGTTTCTGGTTCCGTTTCAGCACAAAATCATTTGGCCTTCCCCAGGTTCCTTCCGCAGGGTCACAGCAGGAGGCCCAAAGCATGTCCTTCCCTCCCTTCCCACCTCGATTCCTTCCCCCACACCCCCCTTAAATGGAGCACTTCCTAGTCTCTTGGTTCGGAAAGCTCACCTCCTGGGTCTTTGGAGAGGCATGGAGGAAATAACTGCATGTTGCCTCTGGATGCGAGGCAGAAGACACTTGAACAGAGCCGGCCAACAAAGGGGATGGGGAAAGGATAGGAAGCAGTCCCAAGGGAGGACCGCAAGACCCCTGCCCAGACCTGAATCTGCTAGGAATGCCCACCCTGGCTCAGAGCAGGAGAGAAAAGGCACTGTGCTGACCGAGCTGAGTTCTTCCCCGACCCCCGGGGGAGGCGAACCTGCTGATTCTTTCCCTGGGCTTCCCAAGGTGAGCCGATTTTTCAGGAAAAGGAATCTAAGTGCTAGGAAGGAGGAAATGCTGCTGTTTCTGAAGTTCAACTGAAATTCCCGAAGTCATGGCCAGGCCTTCTCGGGCAAAAGTAGAGGCAGGCTGAGAAGGGAGAGAAATTCCTTAAAACAGAACTTCTCCAAAAAAAGGTAACAAAGTCAAACCACCATTCTCAAACTGGATTACGCTGTTCCCAAGCATAGAGAGGAAGAGGTGGATCGAACTCAACCTTGACCGCAGCTCTTCAAAGCCCAGTGACCTTTAAAGCGAGCCCCCGCTTTTAGGTCACCATCTCTTAGGAAACAGTGGGAACGAGAGAACAAGATCACACACGCAGACCAACGGGTGCCCCTTGCTGGTTCCTCCATCCTCGGGAGAATCTAGTACCACTGACACTCCAAGAGAACCAACTTTCAGCCACCACAACTCCAGGCCTATCCACTGAGCAGCAGCTAGTAGGGATTCACTAGTAGGGATTTTTCAGAAAAATGGATCTGGTGTAGGAGACATGTTTCCTGGCACGTTGTTGCAATCAGCACAAGTGACGGCCCCAAATGGTAGGTTAGGCCCTTGTGCTCAATCAGGCGAGACTGCAGACTCAGCCCATCTTGGCAGCCACCTCTGCAAGGTCTGTCCAGAAATTCAACTGGTCACGCCTCTGGCAAAGAGAGTTTCCATCTTGGCCACTCGCTCTGGGATTTGGCTAGCTGGGCTCGGGGGATCTAAACACCTGGGGCAGAATATGGATCCAGCAGAAGAAACAAGCACGTCCTTTCCCACCCCTTACGCCGTCACTCATCCCCTTTCCAGCCCATTCAGACTTCCAGCAGCAGAACCTCAATCCCAGCACTAGCTCAGAAAACAGAGAGCAACAAACAGTGCAAAAAGCAAAGAATAAACAAGGTCATTTTTTTCTCTCACACACACAATACAAAAATAAAAAGTGCCCATCCCACCCTCTAAACCTAAACTTCATGTACCTATATCACCTTGTAAGAGGGAAAAAAAATAAACCAAAAAAAAAAAACTTTCAAGTTTAGCATCACAAGCCAGCAGTGACGAGCCCTGGGAGGGGTGGCTCCAGAGGACTCTACTCCAGCCCCCAACATACTTCTTCCTGTTTCTTGACTTTCCCCTGTTTCTGTAAGCCTTAGAATCAGATGTCCCTTTCTTTCAGACACAACCAAAGAGGAACGTGCCCACCCAGCCCTGAGCTCTGGGAAAGGGCAGGCTCCGAAACAGGCAGAGGCACAGCTGCTTGGTTTACAGTACCATTAGGAAACAGCCCCCGGAGCTACGGTTTCCTCCTGAGGCTCGGAGAGGATGGACTGAGGCGTGGCAGCAGGAACCCCTCCCCGTCAGTGACCAGGCAAGTGAGCAAGGCAACACGGAGGCACCAAGTCCTCCTTTCTCATCCCTCTGTCGCCAGAGTCCTCGGGCTTGGGGGGATCGTGGAAGGATGAAACCAGAGCCACTGGCAGGAGCCCAACTAACAGGGTGTCCGGTGTCCCTGGCAGGTGGTCCCCAAAGCTAAGGCTACAGGAAGTCATTCTTAAAAGTGGGGGAGCGTCCTCTGCTTGAGCCTCAGGCCACTGCTGTTCCGGTGCCTAACCCAATACTCAAGTACTGAGACTCAAGTTGCAGCTAAAACCAAGGGCTGCAACTCAAATGGTGATCTGAAGTAACTCATTCAAACTCCAAACCCAAGACATGAATCCAAGGCATAAAGAACAAAGGTACAGGACTCTTATGAAATATATCCAAAAAGGCAAACTCATAACTGAACACATTTGGAGAAAAAAGCTAACCCTGCTGTCTTCTAGTCACAAAATTCTTTATAGTTTGTCTGAGTCCTCCCTCATTGCCGTCCTATACAGATGACACTGACCAGAAAGGAGTGGGGACAGGGAAGCTTTCTTTCCTGCAGAACTTTTCCCAAGGAATTCAAGGGAGCCACTTGGATGCTAAGGTTGGCTTCAGAGCTGCCAGGCCTGTGGCTGACTGGAAATCCTTCAGTCCTATCACCCCAAGAACTCAAATACCACTGGAATAGGAAAATGAAAGACCAGAAGGGCATACGATTAATACTTGTGAGACGCATCACCTGACCAGTGAGAGGAAATCTGTCTAGTTCCTTTGGGCAGCTCTGGACATAAACCAAAACTGTGTGAACTGTGACAGACATAGAAATAAACGAACTCTGAACAGTGGTCACTCACTTAGAAGGGCTCAAGTCTCTGAGGTTGCTCTTAAATTAAGCTAACTTAAGCCTTTCCTAATCCAAAGACCAGAAGAGACTGTTAAGGTCAAGTGTTCTGCTGCCTGCAGGCTGGGAAGCGTCACTGTCCCCTGGCAGTGAGACCCTACAAAGGGGCCAGTAGAAGAACTGCAGGGGCGTATCCTCCTGGTGGCTGGCTCAGAGATCCAGGGAGGGAGTACCAACAACGTGAAGTGGTAGAGAAGACATTCAAGCAGAGGAAACGCAAAATCCCCACGGTCTCCTTTCCTTCTTGGCAATAACTTAGAAGAACGGTGGAGAGGAGAAGAGAGATTTCAAACGAGTCAGATTAAATGAGAGGAAATCAAGTCCCCAACAGGCACTGAAATCAAAATGATTTGTTGCGGTAACAAGTCAGAGGCAACCTGAAGATCTGACATAAGCTAATCGTCTTGGATACCAGACAGTCCTCTAACTGCCACATGTCAGGGAGACAAGCAATGCCAAAGCTCAAACATTGAAGATGGAATCAACACTGGACAAAAACCAGAAAGGCTTCCAAGTAAGAAAGTATCTATTTTCCTTTCCTTTTCTAAAACTCCTCTTCCGTTTTTGTCTTTATCATACAAATCATATATTTACACACACACTCGATCCCAGGACATATGAAAATTTATCTGAACATAACTTCAGAACATACCCAATTCTCAGCAGTGGTCCTCTAGATAATGACATTTTCCTGCTGTTAATTTCTAACCTCAAAAAAAGGAACTGTGTCTGCTCTGAGTTAAGAGTACTTTCCACTAGGTACACAGATGAGAATCCTTGAACAGGTAGGAACCAGTTTGCCCCAAGTACCCTAGAGAAGAAAGAGACGGTTGGGAGCAAGTCACAAAGAGAGGATTAGGACTGATGCAGGTCTGGGACCAGGTGGTAGATGAAGGTTACTCTCTGCTCTGCCTCTTTTTGTCTCCTTTAATTCATGTGTGTGTGTGTTGTTTGTCTGCTTTGTTAATCACTCTGAAAAATACAGAAACCAATTTCAGCACGTTTGGTTTCTCTCCCATACCCCGCACCCTATTTGGGATGGCAATCTGTTCTCACAACCGGCAGAGGCAGAAGAGGGTTGGAATGAAGACTCCAAAGGCCACCAAGATGGGAAACATGAGGCTGCTGTTGTCCGAGGCATAGGGGTTGGGTGTGCGAGGGCCTGACTGCACACGGTTCTTGTTGGGCTGTCTTTTAAGATTTGACCCTTCATCATATTCTTCTTCCTCCTCCTCCTCTTCTTTCTTCTCCAATCCAGGATGAGGCTGCAGCTTTGGTACATCTGATCAAAAGAGAGGACAACTTTTAAGGCCCACAGCATTTAAAGTACAGTCCTGGAAAGTAGCAATACCGAGATCCTATGACCTCACCAGGATCAACAGACAGTAGTGGTAGAAACAGCCCTGGAGAATCACAGAATGCTGCCAACACTAGTCTTTGGATCTAACTTTGGTAAAGCTCTACGAAAAGGAGGTTCACTATATCTCCTTCTCGTTCCACTTCAGAATCCTTAGCGACCACAATGAATACAGGCAATGACCCAACACTGGAATCTTAACCTTTCCAAATACCTCCTCCTCCCTACCACAATCCCATATTCCCTTCTGAGTCACACAGCACTGAAGAGCTGATCCACAGAGTTCTGAGTTCTTGGCATTCACTCGTCTCCTTCTTAGGGATCTGATCTATGTATCTGTTTGGGGGTGAGACAGCTGCTCCCAGATGTCATAATATAGTAGGATGAGACTCTCAATGCCTTCAAAATGAGCTGAGAAACATCCTCTACAGAGATGGGGTGAGGGGGGGAAAAAGGTCTAAGACAGTTTTCTCAGCAAAATCAGCCCGGGACACTGTCAGCCAGAATAACCTACATCCTGAGAAAGAAATCACCATAAGGCTGGATTCCAAGGGACAAGTAGATATTAACAAGTGAACTTTTGTCCCAGTATGATCCAGTAATACACATCAAAACCTTTAAACACACACAGACACACAGACACACCCCTTTCTTTTGCCTGGAAATAAACGTCAAAAAACAAAACAAGAGGAAACAGCAACGAAATAGAAGCACAAGTGTCAAAGAGCCAGTGCCGGAGGTCGGTGCTTGTCTTGCACGCAGCTGACCCCAGTCGGAGCACTGCTGGGTCATTTCCTAAGAACACAGACAAGGACAGGCTCTCAGTACTGCCAGGTATGGCCCAACCCCAACCCCGCCCCCACCTCCCCAGCAAAAGATGTGTCTTGAAAAGAAGACGCTTCTTCTACTCTGAAAAAGCATCCGAGTTCGCTTTTGAGCACACATTTATTTCTGTCCCCTCACATTTCTCTAAGTTAACTTCTTCATGCTTGCTGTTTTGAAGCCACACCAAGTGGTCCTCAGGGCTTGCTCAGGGAACCATATGGTGTGCCAGGGATCAAGCCCGCTGTACTATCTATTGCTCTTGGCCATAAGTAAATTTCTTTAAATACATTTTATTTCACAAAAAGAAAGAAACAGTGCAATAAGATGCTTGCCTTGCACACAGGCAATCCTGGTTTGATCCCTGGCACCACATACTATCCTCTGAGCAATACTGGGCATGATCCCTGTGCAGAGAGCCAGGAGTAAGCCCTGAGCACTGCTGGGTGTGACCCCAAAACCAATGAAACTAAAAATAAGTAAAACTAGAACAACAAGTTTTAGTGTTCAGATCACTACAAAATTCAGAGCACAGTAATAGAGGAATTACTAATCCGGATTTACGGTAAAGTTAAAAGAATGTGCCTAAAACCAAACAACTCTCGTTATAACTGGCATCCAGTTCTGAAGACAGAAGTCACTTCAAAGTTTATGGCGTGGAGGCTGAGGGATAAAGCTCAGGGGTAGAGAGCCTTGTTGGGGCACATGTCAGCTGGATCCCAGCACTGGCCCACACTGTTGGGTGTCATACCACTGACAATGCCCTTATGACGTCTGATGACACAGAGCAATCTCCACTGTATCATAACCAAGTGCATGGTAATCCCTGAACCAACAACAAAGAATGGAGGGGAAGGGAAAAACTTCCCATAAAAAAACAACAACAACAAAAAGACACTTTTAACTCATGGGGCAGAGAAAGAGCTCAAAAGTGGTGGCATGCTGAAGGGTCCAAGAATAGTGAACTGGGGCTGGAGCGGTAACACAGCGGGGAGGGCGTTTGCCTTGCATGCAGCCGACCCAGGTTCGATCCTCAGCATCCCATATGGTCCCCCAAGCACCGCCAGAAGTAATTGCTGAGTGCATGAGCCAGGAGTAACCCCTGTGCAACGCCGGCTGTGACACACACACAACCCCCCCACAAAAAAAAAGAGAATAGTGAACTGTCTAGCCCACACAGCCAAATTGAGTGTATCCCTGGGAGTATCTTTTCCACAACTCTCGAGCACTGCCTTGAAGGACCCTCCCATGGACAGACACCTAATGGCAAAGGACCATCGTCAATTCCACCACCATCTACCGGATTCTGAAGGCCCTGCAATCTGACTTAAGTGTTTCCAAAATACCAATCCGGAAATTATCCTAAGAATTTCTTCTACTATATCCTTAAACACAAGCGAAAAAGAGCAAGGCCAGAGAGACAACTCAGCAGGCACTGCATGCAAGCATACAAGACTCGGGTTTAATCCCCAGCACCACACTGTCCGCAAAGCACTGCCAGAAAGAGTGATCCCGGAGCACTGAGCGGGAAGCAGCCCCTGAACACTACCAGGTATGGCCTTAAAGTCAATCAAACAAAACCCCTGAAAGGTCAAAAAAGACAACTTAGCCAGGAATGTGGTTCAGCAGTGTATAGCACACGTGTGCATGTGTGAAACCCTGGGTTTAATCTCCAGCACCACAAAAGATAAAAGCAACAAAAAAAGCACAACTTACCATCCACTGTTCCAGCCATGATGTAGAGCGCACAGACTTTGGGATTGTCATAGTAACCCTAGGAAATAGGAAACAGTGGTCAATTCGGACTGTAGCCAGCACTCCCCCTGACCCTTCCTTCGGAGCTCTTCCTTACTCCTGAGGGCAAAGTAGGAACGTTACCTTGACGAACTCAATGTAGAGTTTTCCCGTGAAGGTGGACACTTCCCCCTGGACACTCAGTTTCCCCTTTCGGATGCTCATAGGGATAATTTCATCATGAGCTGTGCTGTGCCCAACACGGTCGAAGATATCCAGGTCCTTCACCACGACGTGGCCATTCAATCGTACATCAAATACCTTCCAAGATTACAACAGAAGAGAGCGTTAAAATCATCGGCCTCACACCCCGGGCTTCAAGTTCAAAATTAGATTTAAAAAATTCCAGGGCAAAAGGGTCAACTATGATAACCTCTCGGTATCTGCATTGCAAACCATAATGCCCAAAAGTAGAGAGAGTGTATGGGGAATATTGTCTGCCATGCAGGCAGTGGGAGGGTGGAAAAGGTGGGGAGTATACTGGGGATATTGGTGGTGGGGAATGTGCACCGGTGGAGGGATGGGTGTTTGATTATTGTGTGACTGCATCTCAAACATGAAAGCTTGTAACAGTATCTCACAGTGAATCAACAAAATTAAAAAATTTAAAAAAAAATTCTAGGGCAAACAACTATGTCATAAACAACTTTGTAAATCATGGTGTTTTCAATAAAAATAGTTAATAAAAAAAAATCCAGGGGGCTGGAGCGATAGCATAGCAGTAGGGCATCTGCCTTGCACGCAGGTGACCCGGGTTCGATTCCCAGCATCCCATATGGTCCCTGGAGCACCAACGGGAGTAATTCCTGAGTGTGTGAACCAGAAGTAACACCTCTGCTTTGCCGGGTGTGACCCAAAAGGCAAAAATAAATAAATAAAAATAAAAAATAAAAAAATTCCAGGGCAGGATATACTCCAAGATAGATAGGGTCCTTTACCTGCACTAAATCAAAGTCCGCACTATCAAGGAGGCCTCACTTGGGCCTTAGGGAACAGAATATAAACAAAAAACTCAGCATGAGAAGGAGGGAATTCACAGAAGGGTCAGGCAAAGAACAGGGACAAAAACAAAAAAGGTGGGGCTGGGGAGATAGCACAGCAGGGAGGGCGTTTGCCTTGCACCCGGCTGACCCGAGTTCCGGTTCCAGCATCCCATGAGGTCCCGAGCACCGCCAGGAGTAATTCCTGAGTGCAGAGCCAGGAGGAACCCTTGTGCATCGCCGGGTGTGACCCAAAAGCAAAAAACAAAACAAAACAAAAAACAAAAGGATGCACAAGGTCCAGGGGTTCAGAGAAGCAGAGTGCGTGTTTGCATGCTACAGCCTGAGGTTCCAGTCCCAGCATCGCATGGTCCTCCAAGCACTGCTGGGAGCTGGGACTATCGCCCAAAATCACCAGTCGAAGTCCAAAATCTACTTCCCCTACCCCACAGAAAAAGGAACAAATCAGGGATAACCAGGAGGGTCTCATCAGGACTAGCTTGTTACAAAGAAGCCGGATACTGACACTGCACTATGTTACCCCCACCCAAGGCAAGTGTTGCATCTGAACAATGGACAAAGCTGCTTCTGGAGGCAGAGGGGAGCCAGCTTTTCCAGTCGGGCCCAAAGCAGAGGCCCAGCCAAGAGTAACAAGGCCCCACTGGCAATCGACCGGGCTTTACCTTTTGCTGGGACTGGGCAAAGTAGACCTCGGCAAATTTCAGCACCAGCACATAGTCCCCCTCCTCCTTGATGGGCACTTCGTAGCCGAAGGTCTCCTCATTGTACCGCTCTGTTTGATACAGGATCTGATCCTCAGGGTTGGAACGCAGGATTGGCAGCTTCATGCCATAATCAGAGGCTGGGGACAAGAGACAAAAAGGACACATCAGAGGTAAAACACACAAAAACGCCCAGAGTCCCCAATCGGGCCAGAAACATCTCCAAGGCAAGAGGGCCCTCTGCGGCAACTGGCTCCAAAAAGACCAGGCACCAAGGTTCTTACCAAGGAAGAGTGAAATGAAAGAAACCAGACAGATCCCATAACCGACAGCAGGCAGTTGGAAGAAAATCAAAATCACTTTACCCAACTATCCAGTACTAGAGAAAAGGGCAACGTGTGCCAGAGACCAAGTTCAAAGAACACATGCTCACGGGAAAGGGCCGGTTCCAATCCTCAGCACCAGAGGTCCCTCTGCCGACCAAGAGTGACCTCCAGGCACAGAGCTGCAAGCAGTCCCTCCTCCCCCAGCACCCCTACATGGGGTCCAAAACCCCCAAGGAAAAAAAGTACCACATCATAGTGTTCTGCTTGGGATTTGGGGGACCCCTCCCAGTGGTAGTCAGGGGCTACTCAAGCTCCTCGCTCAGGGGTCACTCCTGGTAGAAATGGTGCTGGGGATCAACCTGAATTCTATGGCACGAAAAGCACGCAAGTCCAGCCCAGAGCTATTTCTCTGGCCCCCTCATACCATCTGCACAAGCAATTTTTCTTTTACTAGCTTTGGGAGTTTGGGGATGAAAATTACGAAAAGTAAAGTGGACTTTGGGGGTCGGAAGGGCAACACTGACCATGTTCAGGGCTTACTCCTGGTTTTTCTATCTGGGATTACAAAGAATGATGCTTGGGGAAGAAATGGGGTGCCAGGGATGGAAGCTACACCAACTGAGTTCAAGGCAAGCAGATTACTGTGCTCCGTACTCTCTCCTCCCCTAACGTGGACATCTTCTTAGTAGAAATGACTTTGCTAATAGATAACCTATTTTAGGTTCAGCTTTTCTGAGAGAAAAAAAGTGATTTGGATTTAATGTCCTGCAGACTTCCCTAGTTACCCCCTTGTTTAATGAAGTTAGGAAAGAGAGCAACTGTAATGAAGTATTTTATTGTAAGAAGATGTTGGCACTCGCAAGCTGGAGCCATAGTATAGCTTGCAAGCAACCACCCCCCAACATCCCATATGGTCTCTGGGGCTGACCAGGAGTAAGCCCTAAGTAAGCCTTGAGCACTGCTTAATGCTGGGGGGGGGCCTGGGAAAGGGGGAGAGGGAGAGGGCATGGATAGTTACACTTTGGAAATAAGAGATAGTATAGTGCGTAGAGGTTAAGGCACTTGCATTACATGGAAGAGTCCGTGCAATGGGCTGTAATAGATGTCGTAGGTACTGGCACTGCACCATTTTCCAGAGTACTGCTGGGAGTGGCCCAAAACAAAGATGTGATAAACTCTAATTTCCTTCAGGCCAAAGTAACCTTACTTTCCAGAGACTCACAGCACTCAACCTCACCTACCTACTCTCTTACACATTCATCCCCCAGTTAAGCAGGAAGGAAAAAAGAGAATACAGCCGGCACGTAACACAGTCCCTGGCACATTCGCTCAACTGCCAACTAAGGAAGCAGCTACAGAGCAGTTGGATCATGCTATTCTTCCCACTTAAGAGGTCAGAGCCATGCTAAGAAGGGAAAGAGAGGCGGAAGAGATAGTACACGGGGTAGGGCGCCTGCCTGCATGTGGTCGAGCTTGGTTCCATCCCCAGCACCCTGAAGATCCCCCAAGCCCTACCAGGTGTGATCCCTGAGTATAGAGCCTGAAGCGAGCCCTGAGCACTGCTGGGAGTGGTTCCCCCACAGCCCCCCACACACAAAAAAAGGAGGGAAAGAAAACCAACTGAAGTCTTTATTTCTGGTGTAAGATGTCCAAATCCGGAGGAGCTATTTTTCCCACTTCACAGACTAACAAGGAATCAAACAGGTGAAAAGCAAGTTACTTACGTGGGCTGATGTCCGAAGTTCAAAACCTCTACTGTTCCCCAGTCCTCTCAACATGGCAGGCGACAAGTCTCTGTGTCCCCCCCCCACCCCTCACACAACTAACCAGCGCTTACCCCCAAATTTTAAGACACCATACTTCAGCCCCAGAGATGAATAGTTAAGCTGCTTCCATCCAAAACGAGACTTTGGCTTCTTTATCCTGCACACACAATAAGATTTTCCAGTGCTCCATAAATCTACTTTCTAAACTACAAATTTAGAAGTGATTTCAGTACAGGCCTATTCTCTTCTGCCAGCGATTAAGATTTCAAACCTACCTTCCAACCTCAAACAGTGACTCTGAAGACACTTGGCACCTACATTCCTAGGGAGAAGTCCAAGGGTAGTCATCCCTAGAGCTTTATCTTCTAAATTACCAAAACTCCAACGGAGGCAAAAGTAAATAAAAGACAAGTGGCTAAGGTCAAGTCCTCCAAACAAAAATAAACAGACCTACTAACAGTTCCTGCAAGCAAACAGTAGCCAAATCGGATGGACTGATGAGACAATGTAGCAGGAAACTCATTGCACTATTGTCTCATGACTTTTTTCCTCCTATTACTTAAGAGATCAAAGAAGTGTTGCTGAATAGAACTACAAAGAATATACTGTCCAGTGCTTTTCCAGGCTCAAACAATTACAGTTTGAGGGACTGGAGCATAGCGCAGCGGGTTGGGCATTTGCCTTGCATGCGGCCGACCCGGGTTCAATTCCCAGCATCCCATATGGTCCCCCAAGCAGTGCCAGCAGTAATTCCTGAGTGCAGAGCCAGGAGGAACCTCTGTGCATCGCTGAGTCTGACCCCCCCCCAAAAAAAAGTACATTAAAAAAAAATTACAGTCTGAGGGGTACAAACCTACAGAGGTTTTAAAAAACTGTCATTTCTCCTTGACCTGAATTCGAAGAATATCCATCTTCCATGAAGATGCTGATGCTTACAAATTTGGAACACTGGCTACAACCGCATTTTAGATAAACAGAAAATTGTGTGCTTGAGTAGGGAATCATTTCTTTTTAATTGCCAAGTGGAAAAAATGAGAAACTAATAACATAATCTGTAGCATCTGTAGCTGACTTAGTTTTCCACAACTAAGAAAACTCAACCATGTGAACAAAACCTTGTAACTATCTGACAATATTTTCAGGTTTAAAAAAAAAATTGATGGGGGAAGGCATAACTGGCAGTGCTCAGAGCTTACCCCTGGCTCTGAACTCAGAGATCACTTTGGTGATATTCAGGGAACCACACGGGGTGCCAGAGATTGAACCCAGCTTGGCCACAGCAAGGCAAGCACCTTGCTGGCAGTACTCTCTCTCTGACCCATAAAAAATTTATTTTTTATTTTCTTATTTTTGCAGTGCCAGGGATCTCAATTTTCCCTCCCCTATTTTGCTTTTTGGCCACACCCTGCAGTGCTCAGGGCTTGGTTCTGGCTGTGTCCAGGGACACTCCAAGCAGTGCTCAGGGTACCCTTGTATGGTGATGGGGATCAAATCCAGGTCAGCCATATGCAAGCCACGTGCCCCACCTACTGTCCCATCTCTCTAGTCCCATTTTACCACAGTTTTTATTTTTTTGGTTTGGAGGCCATACCCAGCAACGCAGAGGGGTCACTACCGGTGGTGTTTGAGGACTATGTATTAATCAAACTCAGGCCTCTCATATGAAAAGAAAGCACTCTGCCCTCGAATTTTCTTTCTGGGGCATGGGGGAGGTCTTGGACTCACACCCAACTCTAAATTTTGTTTCTGAGCCACACCCAGCGGTGCTCAGGGTGCCACATACAATGCAAAGGATCAAGGCAAGCACTCTACCCACTGTTCTATCATTCCAGAAATTTCCCCTTTTTAAAGGGAAGCATCGTAGGGCCATACCCACTCAGACTCCGGAGCTATTCCTAGCTTTGTGCCGGGGGTCACTCCCTGATGTGCTCAGGAGACCAAATGCAATGCCAGGGATCAAACCAAGGTGAAGTACACGCATGTGTCTAACTCCTATAGAGCCCGAAAGCATTTTCACTTTGCTTGTTTTGGGGCCACACCCTGTGATGCACGCTCAGGAATTACTCCTGGCAGTGCTCGTGGTGACCAGATCGGATGCCAGGGATTGAAACAGGGTCGGCTGCATGCAAGGCAATCATCTTACCGCAGTACTATCTCTCCAGCCAAGTGAAGTTCAAGTGGCAATCCCAAGAAATGCACCACATGCAGAGATGAAATTTGCCAAAGTCCCAAGAGATGCATCTGCAAAAAGAGACTTCTCCCCACTTCGCCTTTATGCATCTATAGCTGAATTTCTCTAAAACACACTGAAGTGTTCAGTCAGCACACTGCTTAAATTGGCACAACATAGCCCAGACAGTTAACAAAAAAGAAAGAAGGCCAAAGGACCTACAAAACTGCTGTCTTCAAAATCTTAGAAATGGAGTAGGCAGGCTGCTTGAGAAACCCAAGCGTTTAGAGGAAGATAGATCTGTTTTGAAACCTTGGCTCTGCCATCTACTGTGTGATATTGAACAGGTTATTTTCTGAGTGCTTTGTCAACTGTGTGCGGGGTATCACCTACCCCACAGGGTTATGGTGAGGACTAGGACGTCCCTAAAGAGCCTAATATGGTGCCAGAGAGAGACACACACACAGACACAGAAGCATGCCAGTCAGGCGAGCATGTGCTCACAATAAGCACTAAACAAATGCCTCCTCTCTGGGGAGTTTAGGGAAAGGACCAAGCGGAACTGGAAGAAATAAAATTAATTGGAAAACTGAAGCAGGGAGCCACAGGAATGGCAAAGCCAGAAAGAGTGGACCCTGCTCTCCATAAGCCCACCACCATAAAGCTCCCCACAGAGCTCCAACATCACCCACCACATGTTAGTTGCCCCTCCCCACAACCGCTAGATTTTTCTTCTTAATCATTTTTTTCTCAGGGGAGGCCAGTTCGTGAAGAATTATTGGGGCTGGGGGTGTGGGTCAGCAGTAGCAAACTTGTCTTGCCTGTGTGAGGCCCTGGATTCAATAGCGAGCACCGGGGGTAAAAAATTACTGCGGATGCAGTGAAACGGGGGACCCAGGGATTCAATTAAGGAAAGATGAAGGCGGCCAAAGGGCTCACAACATGTTGTGTCTGCAGCTTCTAAATATACAACGGAGGAGCCAGGCTACTGAAAAATTCAACCCAGGTTTTAGAGTAAGAGAGACCTGTATTTGAATCCTGGCTCTACCACTGACAGTGGCATGAGACAAGTTGTTGTCTCACCTGTAAAATGGGACCACCTAACCCAGTGGACTCCTGCTACCTGGAGAACCTGCAAAGGAAAAAATTCTAAACAAATTGCATGTCCGAAGCAAACTCAAAAGGCCGTCCCAGAAAGGTCTTCTGAAGGCCACACACCACACAATCAGTAATCTGATTGGCTTCGGGCCTCTATCTCTGGACTCATGTTCTGCCCTACTTTTAATTCGATGTAAAAGGTCATCAAGCTACCAAATGAGAGGCCCTTTAACTTACTCTGGGTAGGGAATTTTCCAGACTCAAGCCAATGATTTCTAAAGCATGCAAAGTTTCACGGAGGGGGAAAAAACAAACAAAAAAACCCCAAAAAACAAGACTCTGCATTAGTACAGAAATTAAGGGACTAGTCCTGCATGGAACTGGCTCAACCCCCCATACTGCATGTGATACCTCAAACACCATCAGGAGTGACCCCCAAACAGAGCCAGGAGTAAGCCCAGAGTATTGCTGGACATGGATACCCCTCCAACAGAGGTTCAGTAGGGGCCAGAGAGATAGTACAGCGGGTAGGGTATTTGCCTTGCATGTGGCCAACCAGGGTTCCATCCCCAAACCCTACATGGTCCCCCAAGCACCACCAGGAGTGAGCCCTGAGTGCAAAGCCAGAAGAAACCTGTGAGCATGGCTAGGTATGGCCCCCAAACAAAACTAAAACAACTAAAAAATAAGGTTCAATAAAGTAAGTATCATTGGCAAATGTTAGTCATTTGTATTTAGAATCACACAAATGATTAACAAGTGTCTATGAAGAGGAAAAAGTGTCTCTTGAAACTAAGCATATTTCTGGGCTCTCAAGCCAAATAACCAGGCCTGTCCCTCATCAGAGTCAAGAGGGACTCAAATGAGCAAGTCAAGAACCTGGAACGCGCCACATACCCAAATCCCCAAAGACTGCTTCTGAACCACTTTTCTACAGTGGTACTTTCATCTGTGGGTGCACAGAGCTTGGAAAAAAGCCCTTTCCTGGGCTTCAGTATCTCCTGTGGCAGAAACGAAGTCAATAAACATTATGAAGTGCCTTTGAAAGCAAAAGCCACTAGGTACCCTGGGCCACTCAGTTGTGAGAATGCTGAATTACAAAGACGAAAAAAAGCCCAGCAAGTTCAAAGCAGGTCAAACCCACATCAGGATTAATTTAGCAACAAATTTCTGAACTCATTCAACATAAAATGAACTTTCCTGGGGGTGGTGGTAATAGTATCACAGGCATGTTTAAAAAAAAAAAAGTAGCCAGAGCAGTAGTACAGCAGGTAGCAGCTCGCCATGCATGCAGCTGATCTGGGTTCGACCCCCCTCAACCCCTATAATTCCGAGTACCACCAGAGTGATTCCTGAGTGCACAACCGGGAGTAATCCCTGAGCAGAGCCAGGTGTGCCCATCCCCCACGGAAAAAAAAGAAAAAGTAAGCTATACAGCTCCTACTGCAATTGGTGTAAAGTCGTGTAAGGCAAGGGTCTCCAAATCGCCTGGCCATCCTTGTCCACATAAGAGAAGTGGTCAGAAACGAAGGCAGGAGGACAGCCACGCTTCCCTGAATGGTTGCCGACTCCTGAGCACAGAGCTGCGTACTGAGAGTGGAAGCACATTACATCTTACCCCCAGACCTAATGGCAACAACAGGCTATTTTCAGGAACCTGGTAACTGCAGTGATGCACTAGGCTGGTCTAGGCTGGAGCCCACCATCACCCCTCCTCTGGCTTCATACACCTTCATATGTCTACAGGTCACCCCCCCCCCCCACCCCCGCGGACACTCTGGTGCAGAGTGCCCTCGAAGACCAGGGTCCAAGATGGGGCTCTGGTCTACACGGGCCCTGGTCTCATGGAACTGCACCTCCCGCAAAAAAAAAAAAAAAAAACTCTTCCTAAAGAGCTGCCAACCATAAGCCAATACTAGGCAAAAACACAGACACCAAACCAAGTAATCCCCAGCAAATGAAAACCGGGATTTCGGAAAGAGGGGAGTAAACGGCAGGAAATCTAGGCGGTCCTGGCTTCCTTCTCCCAACCGGAGTCAATGGGGTAAGGTGACCTGTGTCTAGTAAATGAAAGGAACCATCTGGCAGAGTCCTCACCCGCGGCTCTCGAGGGGCAAAGTCCACCAACCGGCCCCAGTTCCCCCAAGGACCCAGGAGGAGGACAGCACTACTGCCGGCCCTCAAGGCTGCCCAAGACCAGGTCCTGACTCAGCGGGCCCGGGCTCCTGATCCTCCGTGCCAGGCCCGGAGAGATTCCAAGACAAACACAGAACTTCAGCACACTGCCCGAGTCCTCGGCCCTGCCCACACGGAGACGGCCCAAGGCGACCAACTCGAGGGCGCGACCACCGCCAGCGGGGAAAGGCCTCTGACGCTAAACCCTGCGTCCAGGCAGCAGCCGGACAGGGGGGCATCCGGGAAGAGCGCCAGGAGCCAGCTTGGCGCTGGGCTGTAGGAGGGGGCAGCGTGCCACGGGGGTGGCCCCTGAACCCTGCACACAGCCCCAACCTCCTCCCAGCTCACGGAGCAAGGAACTTCCTTCCCCGACCTATTTTCGGGTCCTCTGCGAGCCTGGAGCACTCCCCCGCCCCCCAAAGCGTTCGGGCCAGTAACAGCTCTGGGGCTCGGGGTGCAGGGACCTGGGGCCTAGCCACAGCATGGGACCTGCGAGGGCAGACGGAGGGACCCCGACTTCTGAGTTTCAGACCCAGCTTCTCGCGGGCAGATTCTCCCGCGTGGGGCAGCGGCGAGAAATGACTGGAGGGGGCCGAAATCCCGCTCCCGCGCCCCCCGCCAGCCTCGGATTCCTGCTGGGCCACGCAGGCCAGACCCCGTGCACGCTCGCAGGGAACGCTCCGACCCGATCCGACTGACCCAGATAGAACCGGCCCGTGGGGCGGCCTGCGGCGGCCGCTTCCCCGCACGTGGAGCCCCCCACCCCCCGCCGCGGGGGTGGGGGCGCCGTGCCGCAACTTTCCCGGCCCGGGCATCGCGGGGGGGCTCGGCTCCCCAAGGGGGGGAAGGGCGCGGGCGGGGCGGGGGACGCCCACCGCCCGCCCCGCCCCCACCAGCCCCGGGCCTCCGGGGGGCCAGAGGCCGGCCCGGCCCCGCGGAGGCGCGGGGGGAAAACGCAGGGCTCGCCGGCCCCGCGCCCCTGCCCCTGCCCACTCCCTCGCGGCCGCCAGCCCCGCCGGGCGCCGAGGAGGGCCCGCGCGCCCGCCGCTCGGGGGAGGGGCGCTCACCTCGGCCCACCCGGCCCTCCAGGGGGTCCTTGCGGAAGTGGATCCCGTGCACGTCCACGTGCGCCTCGCCGCCCGCGTTGACGGCCCAGACGACGCTCTCGGGCAGCCCGGCCCCCGCCAGGCGCAGCACGCCGAGCCCCGGCTCCCGCTGCGCCGGGAGCAGGAGCAGCAGCAGCAGCCGCAGGAGCGCCACGGCGGCGCCCTCGGCCGCGCGGGACCCCAGCATGGCGCCCGCCGCGCGGGGCAGCCCCCGCCGAGCCGCCAGGCCGCCCGGACTCAGCGTTAGGGCGCCGCGGGCCGCTCCGCCGCGGCCGCCGGGGACATGTCGCTCGCAGGCCTCCTCCTCGCCCGCCGCGGGGCCGCCTCCCACCGCGGAACAACCTACCCCGCGCCCGGCCCCGACCGCGACCAGCAGCCAATCAGCAGCCGGACCTCGTGAGTCACCCACCCCCCCGCCCGCAGGAGCCCTCCCATTGGCCGGCCGGCGCGGGGGGCGTGGCCTCCCGCGGGCGCCCAGCCAACCCTCGGGCTCGAGACGGAGCGCGCGCGGCGGCGAGGGGTTCGGTTGAGGCGGCGGTTCGACGCGGAAGTGGCGGGCGCCGCGCCGGGCGGCCCGGAGTCCCGCGCGGACGGGACGGGCGGGGTGGCCGAGCGGGCGCGCCGGCACGCCGCCGGGACTTCCGGCGGCCCAGAGCGCGGGGCTCCGTAGCTCCCGGGGGCGTCGCTGGCTCTCCCGCCCCCGCCTTCCTTCGGGGAGAGGCGGGAGCCCTCCCGGCCGGAAGTCCCGGCCTTCTCCCTCCGCGCGAAGGCGGCTCGCAGCAGCCACGTGCGCAGGTCCGCGGGACTAGCGCAGCCCCACGAGGACGGGACCCCGCCCCCACCCCGTCCCGGCCGCCGTCCAATCGGAAGGCTCCAGCGCAGCGGAAGCGCGTGGCCCGCGGGGGAGGGGCGCCGGGCTGCCCGCGTCTCCATGGCGACCGCCTCGGCTGGGCTCCCGGGAGGGGGCGGGGCCGGAGCGCCTCTGGTCCGGCTTCCGCGGCCTGGGCTGGGGGCGTCGGGGACGGGCCCCAGTCGGCGGCTGGACCCCCGACTCCCTCTCCGCGAGGGCTCGCCGGCGTTGCCGATCCCTGCGCGGTGGTCGCGGCCCGTTCTCACTTCTCAGGTCGGAGAAATAGAGCCCGAGGGCTACGGCATATTGGCCCGAAGGGTTCCGAGGCCAGTGCAAGACAGCCTCGGCACGCGCCCCTTTACTCCTTTTTGTGCCGCCGAAGCTTGGGTAGCTTAGGTTGTCAGAAGTGGCAGGTGAAGTGCCCAGCGAGGGGCTGGAGCAATAGCGCAGCGGGGAGGGCGCTTGCCTGGCACGCGGCCAACCCGGGTTCGATTCCCAGCATCCCATAGGGTCCCTCCCCCCCCCCCCCAGCACCGACAGGGGTGATTCCTGAGTGCAGAGCCAGGAGGAACCCCTGTGCATCGCCGGGTGTGACCCAAAAAGCAGAAAAACAGTGCCCGGCAAAACATGAATTTCAGATTAAACGGATGCCCAAGAGGGCCATATGGAAGAGGGTAGCACCTCTAGGTGTGTATTTCTACCCCCACCAAAAAAAAAAAAAGACACACGGGTATTTTCCTCCAGGCATTCTGCTGCACCAGGCTTCACTGCCTTCCGGTCACTTTCCCCCTCCCCCCCCAGCCCTTTACCCGGGGAAACCACCCCAGTGAACCTGAACCTTCTCTTAGATCCCCAGATCCCGCTTCACCCCAGGAAGGGAATAATATACCTGGCCAACCACCACTGTGCTCACTCACAGGCTCGGTTGCTCACTGCGCTACCCTTTTGCCTTGTTCGGTTGGTTCTGAGGCCAAGAGTCATATTTTTCCTCCCCCACGTTCTTCCCTCTGTTGCTGTCATGCTTGCAGTGACACATTCGCACACACTTGGTTGTGGTGCTTGGCAGGTACCGAACAGCCGGTGCTGGGGCTCGCAGGAGTCACACACACGTGCTCACAGGGGGAGGGTTGTCCTAATTTTAGCGTGTTTCCTGCATGCACCTCCATTGCACCCCCAGGACTCCCAGACAGCAGCATTGGGGGACCCCCCTCAGTCCACGCGGGCAGCACCAGGGAGAAGCTTGTGCCACTGAGCCTAATAAATACCTCATTAGGAAGTTCCCAGCTGTACAGTCAATATGGTCACACTCAAAAGGTCTGAGCAGTGTGGGGGAGCAGTTAATGTCCCAGTGGTCAAGCCTGGTGAGCAGGCCTGATCCCCACAGCTGCTGACCCACAGGAGACCCCAGATAGTTCAAGGCTGCTGTCCAGAATCACTAGGAAGAGAGGCTGAGAGCTGAGAAGGCCCAGTCTCCAGGTGGTCCTGGGCTCAGGCCGGTTCCCTTCAGCAGACAGTGATGCCATGTGACTCCAACCTTCCCCATTGAAAGATCCTGCCCCAAGAGTTAGCCCTCATATAAACTCACCAGGACTCTGGGCAGTGAAATATCAAAGTAATATTCATCACTATGTCCTTTGGCAATATACAAGCATCAGTGATAAGGCCTCTCCACTCTCCAGGGGTTGTTCAGAATGGGATAAGCTGGTGCCTCTAAGGGCAAGAGGTGTCTGGGAATCTGAGTACCTCATTTTTGCTGTGAACTTAAAACCTCACTTTAAAAAAAAAACAAAAGAGGGGACAGAGCCATAGTACAATGAGTAGGGTGTTTGCCTTCCATGTGGCCAACCTGGGTTCAATATTCAGCATCCCATATGGTCCTCCAAGCACCAACAGGAATAATTCTTGAGTGCAGAGCCAGGAATAACTCCTGAGCATTGCTGGGTGTGATCCAAAAACAAATAATTTTTAGAAATTTTTAAATAAGGGACTGTAGAGATAGGATAGCGGGTAGGGTGCTTGCCTTGCATACAGCCAACCGGGGTTCAATCCCTGGAACCCCATATTGTCCCCCAAGCTATTAGTAGTGATCCTTGAGCAGAGCTAGGAATAAGACTAGATGAGTCCCCAAAACCAAAACAACAATAATAATAAAACACCCAGACCTCTACAGCTAATCCTAAGAATTAACTTCATTCACAATGCTTTATATTTAAACCATGATGGGGAAAATTAATAAAAGCAGAGAAGAGCCACTTTTAAATATTCACAATGATCCAGATGAATGCAAACAAGATATAGATTCGCTAATGTGCACTTAATCTCCAAAGGACTGAAGAAGTCTGGGCTTTTAGTCTATAATGTTTCTAAGACTGTGTCCATTAAATACGAACAAAAAAGGAGAAGGCTTGGTGGAACAGAAGTGATGCACACTTGATGATCAGATCAATTTAAATATTATTCATGGCATATTGCCTGGACCATGCTCTAGCTGTTTCTATGGTTTGGTTGGTCTTCTATGGCTCCTCTTCGTTTGCTAATGGATCATCTGGATTAGAAGCACTTAACAAAGCCGGGATCAATGGCAGAATTGTGCAGCTCTGCAGAGCCGGGGACCACTTATCTCTTAAAGTATCTAAACATAATCTTCCCACTTGTATATGTGAGGATGATAAATTTTGGTCATGAAATGTACTTTAGGGACTACCATTGGGTATTCTGGAAGGAATAGTTAGAATATTATTTCAGTTTCGAAGTCATTATTTAAGTTTCAAAGGTGGAATCCTGGGGCCTAATACTGACGGCATGAAAATAATGAGTTTTGGAAGCAGAGTGATAGCACAGCGGGTAGGGTTGTTGGCCTTGCACGAGGATGACCCGGATTCGGTCCCCAGCATCCCATAGGGTCCTCAGGCACCACCAGGAGTAATTCCTGAGTGCAGAGCCAGAAGTAACCCCTGAGAATCATCGGGTGTGACCCCCCAAAAAGAATGGATGTTGCTTTCATCTGTTTCTGCTTTTAATGCCAGAAACTGCTTCTGCCAGCAAACTCTGAATTTCCTTGAGCATCCGCAGAGCAGCCCAGCCATCTATCTCGTCACCCATCTCTCCAGCCATCAAGACAAACATTTTAAACCAGAAAGGATATGTTTCAATTGCTAGCATTAGAGGACCCTACCTAGGGATTCAATAAATATTAGCTGTGGGTGTTTGGAGGCGCAGAACCCAGAATTCAAAGGCTTGCTCCCCTTCATAGATCTGGATAGCCTGGGGTAAGCCTTTTTTTTTTCTTTCTGGGTCTCAAAAGCCTTTTTTTTTTTTCTTTCTGGGTCTTAAGTTTCTTCACCTGTTACAGGAAAAGAATGAGAAGACCCCTTTACTGTCTCAGGAAGTTAAGAGCCCTTAGAGCCCGCTGGCCTTCTTAGGCCCCCAGATCACAAGAAATTCTTGTTCTGGTTCACCTGGGAAAGTGCTATCCATCATATCAGAAGAAATCATCCCTACACGACTGCTGAGGGCGAAGTCACCGCACAGGCCTTGGTGGAGCATAGGGCTTGGGGCTTGGGAAAAACCCTGCCACCCACTGGCATGGAAAAGCGGAGCTGTGAGTTCAGAAGGGAAGCACAGCTGGCTGGGAGCCCCCAGAGGCGGGTCACCTTGACTCACAGAACTTCGAGGGGTGTGTCTTCCTGTGCAGATAAGGATCGGAAGAACAAAGCATCCTAGTAATTCAGTCTGGCCTATTTTAAGTTTGTAAAATAACCCACCCCCACACTTCTTTACAGATCAGAGTTCAAAAGGTAACGGCAAAGAGGTGTGGGGGCCAGCCTAGCTCTCTGCTCAGTGCTCCCGGCCAGCCCTTGGGTTTGGAGCCTGGTGATCTGGTCCCCAGAGCAAGTATCCTGGCCCAGGACCTCTAATAAACAGCAGGGAGTCCAGAGACCCCAGTGGGCACCTTGTAACGAACCTTGAACTTCAGGGAAGGAAGAATGGACTTGGCTTTCCCTCTCTCTCTCTCTCCCAGGGCTGGGGATGTGCGTCACATCTGGCTAGGGAGGAAGACAGCCAGACCTTGGGTCCAGGCGAAAGAATGGGAAAAACTAGCACCGTGGCCTCTAGGAGCCCAGGACAGGTCACTTCCTTCAAAACTGCTGTTTCCTTACCTGTAAAGGGGGTGATAACAACCTTCCCCTCCCAGGTTGGGATAAGGGGGTGACATTCCCAGCGGTGGCCTGCTGTGTGGTGCTGGGATGCACCCTGGGCCTCCTGCATACAAAGCCTGCCTCCATCCCGCTGAGCTCTCCACTGTGTCCCAGATCTCAGCTGTGTTAGTGGAGAAATGTTTTCCTGTAAGCTGAGCCAAGGCCCAGCCCACCAATAATGCACCTTGTCTTGTGGTACTTGACACTAACATCATAGTCATCATAGCCAGATCTCAGGTGTAGGCTGTGATTATCTTGTCACTGTCTATGAGAGGAGCCAGCACAGCCATTAGGGGATGCCAGGGCTGGCTCTCCCTTCCCCTTTCTTTCCGAGGGAATCTCATCGACAGGCATGAGAGACTGGGGAGGGAACATTGCAATGATGGTCACAAAACCTGAGTGTTGGTACCGATGCTTCCAGTACTGAAATGAGTTGAGTCCCCCAACACCCTGTGTGTCTCTGTGTTGGAGCACTTGCCTGCCATGTGCGAAGCCCTGACTTTGATCCCCGACACTACAATCAAGCAAGATGAAACAGAACTCCCTGCAACACCACCTCCATTCTACAGATGAGGGAGTGCAGAAGCAAACAGACCGATGAGGAAACCGAGGGCCACAGGGTCTCCTGACCGGCCTGTGATGCAGCCAGTAAGAGGCAGAGCTGGGATTTGAACCCAGCTGCTTCCTGAACCCACTTTTTTAAAAAAAGCCTTTTATTTTATTTATTTATTTATTGCTTTTTTGGGTCACACCTGGCGATGCACAGAGGTTACTCCTGGGTCATGCACTCAGCAATTACTCCTGGTGGCACTCGGGGGACCATATGGGATACTGGGAATTGAACCTGGGTCAGTCACGCGCAAGGCCCTATCTGATATGCTATTGCTCCAGTCTCAAAAAGCCTTTTTATTGTCAAACAAGAGAAACAAAAGCATACAGAGCAATTCTGCGGCCTAGCAGATTGGACACCCTGGCCAGTGCTTGTTCTAGACGCAGGGTACCCTGAATTCAATCCCCAGCACTGCATGGTTTTCCAGAGCTCCACCAGAAGCAATTCCCAAGTACAGAGCCCAGACCCTGAGGGCCTGGAGAGATAGCACAGCGGGTAGGGCGTTTGCCTTGCATGTGGCCAGCCCTGGTTTGGTTCCCAGCATCCCATATAGTCCCCTGAGCACCGCCAGGAGTAACCCCTGTGTATTGCCAGGTGTGACCCAAAAAGCAAAAAAGAAGTAGACCCTGAGCACCAGTGGATGTGACTTCTCTGGCCAAAAACTAGAACTTCTGGGGAAAAAAGGAAAAGAAAGAAAGAAAGAAAGAAACTTTGCCAGACAACCAGGAAGGCCTCCCCTCACTCCTCCTCTACTATTCAGGCTTTAAAAAAAAAATGTTGTTGTTTGGGGGACTCCTTAGGGTCACCAAATGCTGGGGATCAAACTCTGGACCCTGTGCATTGCCAGGCACACAGTCTAGCCCTTGAGTGATGTCCCCCGTGTACCATTCAGCCTTTCGTAGAAATCATCTCTGCACCCACCCCTCCACCACCTCCACCACACTGAGGAGCACTCCTAGACACTGTCGTCTAGTCTGGCCCACATTCTTTCTCCCTCTGTTTTCAGTAAGTTTTGTTTGGTTTGGGGGCTACAGCCGACAGTGTTTGGTTGCTCCCAGCACTGTTTGGGGCTTGCTCCCAGTAGCACCCAAGGGACCTAGTGATGCTCAAGTGGTGCCAGGGAATCCAAGCCCGCCATTCCCCCAGCGTCGCCTGAAGTAGTCTCCTTTTAGATCGCTCTATTCTAATATCCTCCCTCCACCCCTTTCCTTTGCCTCGTAATTTATCTGCCGAAGGGGAAGGGTGCATTGTTTTCCACTCCGGACTTTGCTGGTGGGGTACTTCAGGGGACAACTCCACAAGTTCTCTGCCTGGATCTGGAGGTGTGGTCAGGATCAGGCTCCAGCTTTTGGCAAAACCCTAGGGGCTGGGGAGCAGGGACTACGTGCTCAGAACCTCACCACGTTGCTGTCTAGAGACTTCCTGGCACCTAGGTTCGGCTTTCCTTTTTGTTTTTTTTGGGCCACACCCAGCAGTGCTCAAGGCTTACTCCTGGCTCTGAGCTCAAGGATCACTCCTGGCAGGGCTCGGGGGACCATAGGGAATATGAGAGGATATGGGGGATCCGATTTGGGGGATTGGCTGTGTGCAAGCAGAGTGCCCTGCCCGCTGGACGTGGCTCAAGGCCCCACCTTGTTCCTAAGCCTCAGTCTCTGCCAGGCAGGCCTGGCTCACCCACAAAAGGGCCCTCCCCAAGAGTCTCCCCAGACTCCAAGGTCCACGGTGGCATCAGCCCTGTCTCACAGCCCAATTCCGTGCTCTCTGCCCCGCCACCCAGTACTGTATCCTGGGCCCGTGAAATTCTGCCTCAGTTCCCAAAAGGAGCAAACTCTCTCAGACCTCGGCCTCTGTGGAGGCCCTTCCTTCAACCTGAAACTCTTCCCCGCCTCCTTGGACCAAACTTGTTTGGCGTCCACCTAGTGGTGCTGGGGATCCAACCCAGGACTTCGAACACACAAAGCATCATCTGCCCTACCACTTGAGCCATATCTTCAGCCCCTTGTCTTTGTATGTATGTATGTGTGGGGGGGGGAGGGGCACATCCGTCACTGCTCAGGCCTTACTCCTGGTTCTGCACTCAGGTATCACTCCTGGCAGTGCTCAGGGAACCAACCAGATGGAGTTCCAGGGACTGAAGCCCAGTCAGTTGTATGCAAGGCTGTATGCCCTAGACACTATACTAGCCCTCTGGCCCCACCTTGTTTGTTTTCTTACCTGTTCCTCTACTGGAAGCTATATTCCTTGAAGATAGAGGTCCTGGCACAGAGCTTGGCACATTGTAAATCTCAATAAATCCCCTCCTCCTCTTCCAGCCTTCCCTCTGCAGCCAGGAAGCACCGGGCCGGGTATCTGGGATCTAACAGCGTTCTTCCCACTGCAGGCGGGAGGGTGGGCAGGGATGAGCTTCCTGCGAGCTTATTAGAGAAGCAGATTCCAGGCGCTGCCCCAACCACCCAACCAATATCGCCAGGACTGTAACCAGCTCCTAGGCTTGTTTCACAGATGCCATCCTGGTGCCTCTTTGCCTGGAACGACGCTGGCTTGGGGAATGCCAGTCTATTCCAAACCCCTGTCTGCTTTTGACCCAAACTTGTCCTCTTGGACCCATACATTTCTCTCCTTTGGACACTGTCAACCGTCACTTGTAGAAATCGGTGCCCACGGGCCCTACATGCCCTTGTGATAATTGCCTGCAGGCCTGCAGTGGGGCTTCCTGAGAGCACTTCCAGGGGAGTTTCCGATTCTTCCTCATCCTTATAGGACACACAAGAAAACCAAGTCTTGGAGCAAAGTCAAGCCAGACTACAGCCTGGCTACTTGCCCGTCTTGCTTCCCTCTGGTCCTGCTGCTCCCACACCTGTCTCTCCACACACTGGGCTTCCCTCGGGGGCCACAACCTGGTCCCTCCTTCCCGCGGAAAGGCTCTCCTGCTCTGCCAGAGCTGGCCAGGTCTCCTGGCAGACCTCTGTACAGGACTCTGCATCCCAGGAGCTTCGATGAGACTTGGGGGGGTCTGGAGGAGGAGGCCTCGCGCCCCAGGCTTCTCCGTATTTCCAATATGTTTCCTTCCTTCCTTCCCTCCTTCCTTCCCTTCCTTCCTTCCTTCCTTCCTTCCTTCCTTCTTTCCTTTCTTCCTTCTGCTTTCCCTCTTTCCCTCTCTCTTCTCTCTCTCTCTCTCTCTCTCTCTCTCTCTCTCTCTCTCTCTCTCCTCCTCTCCCTCTCTCTTTCTTTTCGGGAAACATTCTTGGCGATGCTCAAGAATCACTCCTAGCCTGCTCAGGAGACCATATGAGGTGCCAGGATCGAACCCAGCTTGGTCTTGTGCAAGGCACGTGCCCTACCTGCTATGCTGTCGCTCTGGCCCAGTGTCTGTTAAGACCCCATGTGGGCTTGGAGCAGCAGCAGCCCAGCTAGACCAGCACATCAGTCTTCCTTTCGACTCTGGGAACTGGCTTCTGAACTGAGCAGCAGAGAGGCTAGGTGCACCCTGCCCATGTGCCAGTGCCTGTGCAAGGCACGAATGTTCTAGGAGCGCAGGTGGTCCTTGAACTGGGCCCGGGAAACAAAGACACCACCCTCCTTCCCCACAGTCACCTCTCCCTTGGAAATGCCTTTATTGGTTGGGAGATAACAGGGCCGGGATGAGCTAGAACGGGCATAGAGCCAAGAGCAGGGGCGGGGGTTGCGGTGAGCAGAGCCCCCCAGGAGCGGGCATGCTGTTTGGGCTGCTGGCTGGCTCCCTGGCCCGCCCAGCCAGCAGCGGCCGGGTCCATGGCACTTGGCGCCTGGCAGGACCTCTGCCGGCTTGGCACTGGGGCCTCCTCGGCGCTGGCGCCTCCCTTTCCAGTTGCAGGAGTTGTGAGTCTTTCACAGTGCAGGGGTGGGGGTCCGGGGTGGGCGCCTCCCCGGAGAGCAGGCAGGCCCCATTCCACCAGTCCATCCTGGGCTCTCCATGGCTGCGGCGGGCTGCAGCGGGCCGCAGTTCCTCCTCTCCCGGTGGGGGAGTTTGGCAGTCCTGGATGGGCCCTCCTGGCCTCAGCGGGACATCATCCGGACGAACTCTAGAGTGGGGAGAAAGCAGGAAGCGGGTCCCAGCTCAGCACGCTGCCTCCAGCCTGCCCCCAGATCTAAAACACACACACACACACACACACACACACACCGCTGCCCCCAGCTTTCTCCTGGCCCCCACAGTCTCTTCCAATCCATCTTCCACGCCAGCTGCTAGCAGGAGCCTTCTAATCTGCACATCTGATCCCTTTAAGTCCCCCTCCTGGTTTTCACTGGAAAACAGCCAATCCCGGGGCCAGGGAGGCAGCTCCGAGGGCGGGAGTGCGTTCACACCACCCCAAGTGAAGCCCCAGCACCTAATCATTCGGACAACGGCCATTGGCAGTAGTTGCTGGGACTGAACACAGCTTGAAAAGTCCAGGGGCTGGAGTGATAGTACAGTGGGTAGGGCATTTGCCTTGCACGTGGCTGACCTGGATTCAATTTCCAGCATCCCAGATGGTGCTCGGGAGCACTGCCAGGAGTAATTCCTGAGTGCCTGAGCCAGGAGTAACCCTGTGCATCGCTGGGTGTGACCCAGAAAGCAAAGAAAAAAAAAAGAAAGAGAGAAAGAGATGGACGGATGAACAACTGGGTGAATGAACAGATGGACAAGTGGATGGACAGGTGAGGAAATGGATGGTGGACAGAGAAGTGGGGAGGTGGGTGGGTGGACAGAGAGGCACAGGGACAGGAGGTCAATGAGAGGGGAGCCTGGATGGCAGGGGTGAGGGGGGAAGAGGAAAGGGCTGGGGAAGGGAAGCCCGGGCAGACTGAGGGAGGCGCCCCGGAGGGCCCCACTTTCCCACCTTTTTCAAGCCTCGCCCACCTTCAAAGTCCACTCGTCCATCCCCATTGAGGTCCACGTCTCGGATGATTTCCTCTATGTCTCGGTGTCCCACCTGGTGTCCCAGGAGCTTCCTCATGGCCTCACGCAGCTCGCTCGTGCTGATCTCTCCGTCACCGTTGGTGTCAAACTGGGGGCAGGAAGAAGGAGCTGGGACACAACGGCTGTCCCCAGCAGGCCCCGAGGCCCTGTGCCCTCCTCCCCCACGCCCCCAGACACCCTTCCCTGGGGTCCAGACTCCTGCTTCTTCTTGAGCCACCTCTCGGGGTGGGGGCTTCTCATCTGGGCCCCACTGACCTCTCGGAAGGCGTCTCGCAGCTCCTTTACTCCGATCATGTCCGCCGTCTCTGCCAGGAGTTTGGGTCCCATTAACTCCACGAAGTCATCAAAATCCACGTGGCCACCCACTAGGGACAGAGGAGAGGGCTAGTGACCATGACCTGCTCAGGGCCCGGTGCAGGGGAGCAGCGGAGAAGTGACCCTGGATGGTGGTTGTCAAAGAAAGACTCAGGGCGGGGCCGGGGCCTGAGGAAAAAGGGAACAAGCACAGAAGTGGACGGAGGACAGTGCTAGACACAGAAGGGAGAGGGAAATGTCGGTTAGCAGAGATGGTGCTGGTCCCCCAGGCCTGGCTTCCACTGAGTCAGTCCCCAGATCAGCTGAAGCCTCAACACGGCCTCCCCCCGCCGGGGGCGCCTGACAGGTTCTGGGGAGCCCCGACATGCTCCATAGGGAGCTCAAATCCCCTGTGAATCTCTAGCCAGGGGGAAAGGCTGCCTTCTCGTGTGGTGTGTGTGTGTGTGTGTGTGTGTGTGGGTGTGGGTGGGTGAGACACCTGGAGATGCTCAGAGGTTACTCCTGGCAGTGCTCAGGAGACCATACTGGATGCTGGCTATCGAACCCAGGTCAACCACGTGCAAGGCAAACGCCCTACCTGCTGTGTTACTGCTCCAGCCCCTTGTCTATCTGTCTTACTCTCATCCCACTCCCTACCTCTTACCCCTTCCCTCTGCCCCCTAAGAAACTTCCTGTTCTTGGCCCTTTGCCCCACCTCCTCCTCCCACGGGGGCCAGGGGCTAGGGAAGTGGGTGGGGGAATAGTGTGCCCCCAGCAGGTAGGCAGGTGGGCTCACAGTTCATGTTGATCTGCTGGGAGAGTTCGATGAGCTCCATCTCGGTGGGCATGTAGCCCATGGTGCGCATGCAGTTGCCCAGGTCCCGGCAGTTGATGTAGCCGTCCTTGTCCTTGTCAAATTCCCGGAAGGCCTCCCGGAGCTCTGGGGGATGGAGCAAAGGTGGGCCCGCTGAGGCTGGACCAGCCAGTCCCACGGGGAGGTCCCCAGCCCGGTGTCCTGGAGCGAGCCACCTTCCTCCCTCTCCTGGGCAGCCGTGCAGACGCCAGTGCTCACCTTCGATCTCCTCCGGGCGCAGAGACCGGTCCTGAAACGAGAATGAGCGCCATGAGCAGCCACGCGGTGGGTGCCTGGCCCGCGGGGGCAGGAGTAGGGGGAGGCAGGAAGTGATGACGGGGCTCTGCAGAGGTGGCCTGGACCGGGTCCCTGAGGGAAAAGGTGAGGGGGTCCTCTCCCGCTGACACGGAGACCCAGGTGCCCTCTCCAGCCTGGGCCCCGAATCTCCGCCCCTGGTCCCTGATTCCAGATACAAAACATGTCAGAGAACAGAGCGGATCTGGAGGCAAAAGCCTGTAAATAAAACAAGGTGTGTGTGTGTGTGTGTGTGTGTGTGTGTGTGTGTGTACAGGGGGTCACAGAGAGGACGGCATCGCCCAGACAGAGAAGCAGAGAAGGGAAGCCTGGGGGGACGGAAGGGAAGTGACCAGTAACAGAAGGAAGAGGGGGGTCAACAAAGTTGGGGTGTAGAGGCGGCATCAGGGCTGTGCTCTGCTTCCTGGGCACTGCCCCATCTCCAGCTGGACCCATCAGGGGACAGAGCCCAGAACCCCGGGTGTCGCCAGAGCCTCTGGCTGCCACCAGGATCCAAAACACGCATCTCCAGGCTCCGCCCAGGGCTGGGCCTCCTCAGGGAGCCGAGGACACCCTGAGTCCAGGCAAAGGACAGATGGCAGAGGTCTGCGACGAGCAGGTTCCGGTTGGTGGGCTGCTTGTCCCCCTGCCTAGGCAGACAGAGTGGATACGGGGCTCCCAGCTGGGCCCCCTCAGTAGGCCCTGAAGCTGGTTCCCTGGGCCGGCCCTCATCCCTGCATCACCGCTCCTCAACCTTCAGGCAGGGAGAAGGTGGGCATGCGTATGAAGAAGGACCCCTCAGGCTGGGCACGGCACCGTGGATGCAGACACGTGGGCATGCAACAGGAGGAGAAGGGAATCAGTGGGCACCTGGGCACTGCAGCCCACAGGCTGGGCCAGGTCAGATGCCCTCAACCAACTGGCCCCAGAGCCAGGGGCACTGGCACTGGGAAGTCAGAATCTTCTAGAAACGGAAGCTGAGCAGCATCTTGCGGACCCCAGGACCCTCGTGCTCCGAGAGCGTGCAGTGAGGGGCCACAGGGATCCCCAACACCGCCCGCAGGCAGGGCTCTGCAAGGGAGGCACAGAGGTCACTCAGAGAGCTTTCGAGGGCCCAGGAGAGGCTTGAAGAACCGGAGCACCGGCCTTGCATATAGGGCCCTGAGTTCAGTGCCCTGTACTTCATGGTCACCCAAGCACTGCCAGATATGGTCCCTTCCAAATAACAAAATAAAAAACTTCCTAGATAAATAAAATGATGCATGTCCGAGGGTCGGGATGGAGTTCAGGGCATGTTCAATCCCTGGCATTGCCTGCCCACCCCCATCCCAGCGTGCCTGCGGCCCTGATGGTCCCTAAGCACCGCCCAGCACCCCAGGGCTGGGCTCGGAGCACTGACCCACCAGGCCATAAGGGCCAGGAGTCGTTTCCAGACACCCTCAGCGCCACAGGGTGTCGCCCCCATAAAATAAAGCCCATCCCAGGTCTGCAGAGAGAGTCCAGCAGGCAGGGCGCTTGCCTTGCATGAGACCAACCCAGGTTTGATTCCTGGCATCCCATATGGTCCCCCAGTACCACCAGGAGGGAATCCTGAGCATTGCTGGATGTGGCACCAAATCAAAAAAAAAAAAAAAAAACCAAGCCATTCCTGGTGCCCCGGGCAAGCACTATCACTCCCATTCCTAGTTTTGTTTTGTGTTTTTTTGGGGGGGTGTCACATCCGGCCATCCACAGGGGTTACTCCTGGCTCTGTACTCAGGTATCACTCCTGGCGGTGCTCAGGGGACCATATGGGATGCTGGAAATCAAACCCGGGTTGGCCACGTGCAAGGCAAACACCCTACCCGCTGTGCTATCGCTCCAGCCCCTCGATCCTAGTTTGGATCTTGGCTATTCCAAGAGTATGATTTATTTTGCAAATGCCTCAGGCCTGGCAAATGTGAGCAGGGGTGAGGCAAAGTCTGCTGGCTAGCTCTGGCCCTTCTAGTGTCCCTCCAGGATTCTCAGACACCTGGAGGCAGATAGCAGGATAGCCAGTGCTCCTCCTGTGTGGCTGAGGTGGTGAGCTGGGTTCCAGCCGTCCCTCAAATCATGGGCTTCCCCAGAGTGAGTAGCGGAGAGAGGCAGGAAGCTCCCTGCCCTCAACCAAGGTGGCAGGAAGCTTCCTGAGTGATCCCATACTCACTCTTTCCTCCTATCTCTGTAGTCAGAGAGGTAGAGGAGGCTTCCAGAATCAGGCAGCCTGGAAAGCACAGCCCAGATCTGCTAGTCCCTGGTGTGACTGAATGACTTAAACTCTCTGAGTTACCATCTGTAAAGTGGGTTCATGCCAGCTCCTCCCCTCCGAGGCAGAGTCCCAGGAGACTGGGTTTGAGAAGCAGGCCGGGGAGATGGATCACATGGCACGTGTGCAGGGTCTTCTGGCTAGAGACATAATTCCGTCTCCCCCAGCACCACTGAGAGCCACTTCCTGAGCACTGAGCCAGAAGTAGCCAAAAACAGAAGGGCTGGAGCAATGGTGCAGGAGGTAGGGCTCTTGCCTTGCATGCAATCAACCCAGCTTCGATCCTTGACAATTCATACAGTCCCCTGAGCTTCACAAGGAGTGACCTCTGTGCACAGAGCCAGGAGTAGGCCCTAGAGCACGGTTGGGTGTATCCTTCAAATAAGCAAACAAAACACGGAACTGTTTGACCTATGCTGCTGGATGAATGGAACCGAGAAATTCTGCAGCCCATCACTTTAGGCCCTTCCCCTGTGACTCATGAGATACTTGTCATGGGCTGACCGGTCCAGGAGCCAGCGCGAGGCTCAGTAATGTGAAAAATGCACTTCCAGGGGCCGGAGAGATGGGGAGGGCATTTGCCGGGTTCACTCCCCGGCATCCCATATAGTCCCCAAGCACCACCCGGAGTAACTCCTTCGTGCAGAGCAAGGAGTAACCCTTGAGCATGGATAGGTGTTACCTCACCCAAAAAATTTTCACTTCAACAACTTCCAGCAGTTCACATGCCTTAACTGCATTTCAAACCCTCCATATCACACAGCCGGTACCTCTGGACTGGATAGCACAGATGCCATGGGAATGCTTTTGCGGCTGGGAACCTCTCCTCCCTGGGGGAGGGCTAATACTCAGTATCAGTGCTCAATGCCTTGGAGGCCCTTGAATCAGACTCCCAAAGTTCTTTTTTGGGGGAGTGGGTTATAGCTCACAGTGGTTAGGGGTTACTCTTGGCTCTGCACTGAGGAATTACTCCAAGCAGGCTCTGGGGACCATATGGGATGCAAGGCAGGAACCTTATCCATGGTGCTGTCACTCCAACTCCAAACCCCCCAAGTTCCAATCTTCTGTGCCCACCCCTTGTCCCGGCAGTTAGCTGCTTCTCTAGAATGCAACCGTCACAGTACCTACCTCTTGGCGACACAATGAACCTTAAATGCAGGGCTCAAAAAAAAAGCTCCGAATAAATGCTCAAGAGAAGATAAAAGCCAAAGCAATGCTGTCTGCTAGTATTCCTTATCTTTGCTTTTGGTCCACATCAGGCGATGCTCAGGGCTTACTTCCAGCTGTACTCAGGGATCGCGTCTGGCAGAACTCAGAACACCACACTGGGTGCCACAGGGACTGAACCCGGGTGGGCTGCGTGCAAGCCGAACAAGGCAAACGCCTTACCTCTGTCCTATCTCGCCAGTCCCCGTTATTATTCCTTCTTGCCGGCAGATGTGGACCCACCAGCGCCTTGCAGTCAGACGGGACAAGTGGTGGAGGGCTGGGGCAGGAGGGGATCCCCAAGCCCACGGTTGGAGGTGTGTTAGGAGAGGGCACCAGAACTGCTTCTTCCCCGGACCTCCTGGCTCTCCGGCCCGGCGAAGCCACGCAGACAGAGGGGCAGGGCCTCCGGGGCCCACTTACGTACAGGCTGCCGGTGGTCCGCGAAGCCCTTGCGCAGGAAGATGCAGGCAGGCCCCAGCAGGTTGTGCATGAGGGCGCAGTTGTGGGCCAGCGCCAGGAGCGGTCCAGGGAGCTCATCAGGGGCCGCCAGCCCTTCGCCCTCGTCGCAGGTCTCCACGGCTGAGTAGCTGCTTCTCTCCTCCTGGCGCATCTTCGGCACCATGCCGAGGTAAGAGAGGGGTGGCCGTCACCTCCTGCTCGGCCTGCCCCCCACCCTGAGGGGCCCGGGGGTGCCCAGGTCTGCGCGGGGTGTCTCCAGGTGTTGGCCCCAGGGCTGCTCCAGGGAGAGCTGCGGTGATGGACACCCTCTGCAGAGCACATGCACACATGCGACACACGCACAGATTCACACTGGGGTGTGTGTGTGTGTGTCTGTGTGTGTGTGTGTGTGTGTGTGTGTGTGTGTACTCTAAGAGTCGCGGGCTCCTGTCCATTCTGAGACTAACGGGTCATCCTTCCCCAGCGGCCCCACAATCTGCATGCAGGGCTGAGCTGGCCGGCAGACTTGTCCCCTCCAGGCCCCCCAGGATCCCAGGGGCAGACTGAGAGGACAGTGAGAGCTGGTGCAGCCAGTGGGCAGGACTGGAGGGGGCTGCCCAGGGCTCAGGGCGGGCTTGGGAAGAGCAGGCACTGGAGCCAGCGCTTATCCTCCTGAACCGACAGCCTCACCCTGGGCCAACCCTTCTGAGTTCAGACCCTGGAGAGGCCAAACCAAGCACACAGCAGGGCAGGGGTGCATTGCCCCCTCCGGCCCCTCCCCCCACCGCCCAGCCTGCTTGCAACAGCCCTTGCCCCTGCTCCCGCCTTCCCTGGCTCTGCTGACCGAATATAGCCGCGCTCCCAGACCCCGGCGCCCAGCCTCTTCGCTGCCCGTTCCCACGCGGCTATAAAAAGTCTGGGCGGCCCATGGAACAGCCCCCGAGGAGAGCACAGTGCCCAGACACAACATCTCCCCCCCAGCCCCGAGCCTGGGGCGGCCGTGATCCCCGCTGGCACCCCTGCCC